CTCTCTCTCACCCTCATCTATATATAACTATCACAGTTCCTTATTAAATCAAGAAAGAGTTTCAAAACCGACCAACTACTAACTATTCCATTAGGGCAAGCAAAAATGCCGCAACAAAGCATCAACATTGGAAAAACTTTGTTGCCAAAATGTCAAATAAATAGCTCCCTTCTCAGAGTTAAGTGCTACTTACATCACAAAGTGCCCAACTATTTGATTTACCTCATAAATTGTGCAAGAAGATGCGGGTTGACTAGTTACGCCGCCCAGAGTGGCTATTTCTCTGTCATTACCACTGGCGGCAGCGGCAAGCCAAAGAAGTTCTTGGTAGAACTAACCTTTCTTTCAAATCCACCTTTCGTCAGGTTACTCGAAGCAGCCGAGAGAGTTTGGATTTCAGCAGAAAGGTGTCTTGGCTATACCTTGCGAAGCAAGTGAGCTGCAACAAATATTATCACAAGTATGAAGGAAAATTCAACGCAACAAATTGCTATCTGTATATACATTCTTGTATTGCCCCCACAAGTTGCAAATTATCAGGGCACTGAAAATTTAGTACCCTTAATTTAATCAGCTCAATGATCTGATATTATTGTAATGGTATACTCGATGCATAACAATCAATCTATTAGTCGCAAGTACAACAATATCAAATACAGCTAAAGAAAAATGATTCTACTGCAAATCAACGAAGAATAACTAAATGAAGCTCCCATATCAAATTGCATAGCATCTGAATAAATCCGTGGCACACTGGCCCTATCGTTGAATCTAAAATCATCACCAATCTGGTAAACTGCATCTGCTAAACAACATTAACAAGTTTACACAAAAACTTCAATTTCATTCATTAAAAAATCAATGGGGATGACGAAAAAAAAAAAGACCTGAAACATCTCGAAAAAAATGCCTTAAAACTGGGTCCGTACCTAAATGGATTAGCATCACATTCACAACACTACAGTATGGTTTTAGCAATTGACTAAACCTAATCAACATCTATTTCCTGAAAATCAGTCATTCATATGTCACTCAAGGTATTACAAATTTACATCTGAGGAAGCTCGTGCTGGTTTTCCAAAGATTGCCGTAGTATAAACTCCACTCTCCTCTTCTTGTCGTCTTTCTCATCCTCCCGCCCAAACCATGCTGCTGTTTTACCATAGGCCTTGTTCCGAATCCTCAAATCCAACGGTTCACCAAATACCTTTTTACCCCGCCTGAAATCCAAAAATACAGAATCCCTTTTCTCCGGAAGAATCTTTTCCCCATCACTTCCAGAATCGAGCCCATCCTTCATAGCTTCAATGGCTGGAGCAAACGTCTCCAACAAAGATACATGCTTTTCAGTGTGTTTCTTACCAGAAAGCCTTGCTGGCAGATTAACCTGGGACACGACTCTCTCACCAGCTTGTAAGGGATTAGCCAGAAACGGGTTCTCCGTTTTCAACTCGTTTCCATTCTCATATGGTTCAGCAGAAGTTGTAGCCACTGATGAACCATTACACACTAGCCTTTGCTGCAAACTTAATAAAGACCTTTCTGCCTTCCTATTCTGCCTCGCTAGCTCAATCTTATCCGCACGAGCATCAGAAACCCTCTCATTCCAAACGGGTGTTCTTATATACGTGTGAGGATCTGGAAATGCAGGCAACCATGGTGGTATGTGCTTAGAGACCGGTGTCTCGCCCATTTGCGAGAAACTAGGTATCATCCTATGTTCCCTAATCACGGGAAATCGAGGCACTGGTTGAGCAAATGGTATCTCATCAGCCGTCTCAACGTACTCCTTAATCTCTCTTATAGCACCCGAACTCACTATACAGTCGGTATGAATCTTCGAAGCACCTGAAAACCCTTGTGGCATGCCCAAGTCTTCTAACCCTTGAACAATGTCAAACACATTGCACTCAGTCCTACCAGCTACATTTGCATAATATTTTGAGGTTTTACCCACATCGCAGAGGTACCTAATCGCAATGTCAGCGAGCGAATCAAGAGCCGACTCGTTGAATCCCTCGAACCCAACGCTCTCGCATAATTGAGACACTGCAATTCTCGAAATTGATCGGCCGTAATTATTAGCACCGGAGCGAATAAATGGTTTATTGTGTTCATATCTCTTACCTTCAGCTTCACCTCCATCGCTCATGTTCAGATTCAAGAATCATTTAGGGCTTCTACGCTTCACAAATCCTAATAACATTCAAATTACGAATTCCGAAAACCGCCACCATAAAAATCACAAAATCAATGAATCATTTAAAACACCACTGTATGATTCCAGAAAAGAAAAAAACCCTAGAAAACCAGCTGAAATTGAAATGGATGGAGATAAAACCCTAGAGAGAGAGAGAGAAAAAAAATCACCACCCTAGGGTTTCCACTGTGAAGAAAACAATTTTGGGGGGAAACGAAATTGGGGGTTTATGGATTTAACGGTAGAATGATAAACCCTAAGCGACTGAAATGGAAATATGGATCGGAAAAGAGTGAAATCAAATGGAGAGAGAGAAAAGTCAAAAACTAAGAGCTGAAACTGATATATTTATAGCCGGATCGAGATTCCGAGGACCCTTTTGTAAATTATTATAAATAACTAACCCGAGTTTACAAATATAATAGCGAAAATTACCAACAAGTCCTAATGAAAAACTCTTATCACCAACAGGTCCCCAAACTTATATTTATATCTAAAAAGTCCCAAAATCAAAATGAAAAATTTGGGATGATCCTATCCAAAATACAGTAGAACCAAATCCAAATGGCTTTTCCTCTGCAATTGCACTCATCGTCTCTACCAATCCGGCACGAAACTCGTCTGTGTTTCTTACCAAATCCGATAAAAGCATCGTTGTCGGAAAACACACCGCAATTCCGGAAGCTGTTGCCTCAACTGGTTACTTCTGTTCCGGCCAAGTCTCTCAATTTCTTCCTCTCCGGCACCCTCGCTCTTGCTTTCTCCTTCACCGGTCAGTTTTATTCTCGTGGTTGTTCTGAGATTAATTAATTAATTAGTTAATTAATTGTGGGTAATAATAAAGTGTAGGAGTGGGATTTGCCGAGGGATTAGTTGGTGTGAATAAGCCAGAATTGCTACCCAAACAGTTCACTACTGTAATTGATGTTGCTGGATTCCTCTCCGATGGCCAGGTTTTGTTCTGCCTCAATTTTGTCGAAAACCGAAGCATAATCGAAACTGTCGAGTTTATTCTAAAATCGAATTATTTTGCTCACGGTTGCTGATATTTTGCAGAGTTTGTTATGATTGATAACACCATCGAGTTTTACGTGTAAAATTAACGCAAGTTCGTAATATCACCGTATAATGTTTGAAACTGGATCGAACAGGAAAGAAGAATTGCTCAGGAAATCGATGCCCTGGAAAAAGATACCGGATATAAGTTGAGACTTCTGGCCCAGAATTATCCCGATACACCTGGTATAAACCGCCTTTGCTAATTAGCTATCCGTTTTTCTTTTGACAGTAATAAGAATGTAATAAGATTCAATCTGATGTAGGCTTAGCAATCAAAGATTTCTGGAAAGTCGATGACAACACGATTGTATTTGTTGCTGATCCCACATTCGGTACTATTCGATCTGCAACGAAATATTCCATCTCTTCTTCAACTTGCTAGATTTTTGTTTTTTTTAACTTGTATGTATATATCGCGTATAATTAGGAAATATATTGAACTTCAACGTTGGGGCGTCGGTGGATCTGGACATACCACGTAGCTTTTGGAGCCGATTAGCTGGGAAATATGGAAACATATTTTACTGGAAAGAAAAGGTTAATAAACTTGTCGATTAAATACTTGTTTAATTCTACGGCAATTATACTCATAAGATTATTCTACCGAGCAGGGAGAAGATGCATCTGTAGAAGCTGCTGTGATGGCCATATCGACTTGCTTAAGAGAACCGGTCAGTGCAAATAATTGCTCAGAGGTAAAATGAAATTCTCCGTACTGAATAATTCGGTTCTTTCATCTGTTGTAAGAAAAGAAAAATAAAAGGAGATTGTACTACGGTATATTATAGAGGCGTGATATCGATTATCGAGGCTTGTATTCGAAGTGCAAAACTACTTTAGGTCACTTGACTGTTGCCCAACTATATGACTTTAGTTTGCACTCAATGCGTAATTGAAACATAAAACCGAGTAGTTTCAAATTACATAGGACGATGTAGTAACAATACATCCAGCTGACTCAGAAGCAGAACTTTACGAAGAATTACAAGAACATAACCACAGCAGCAATTACCAATACAAATAGGTAAATTGTAGGTAGGTATAAATCAAATAGCTATAGCTAAGGGGGATGCTAGATTTAAGAATAAAGATGCGGTACCTTACCTTAATATCAAACATACACGGGCATGCAGAAAACAAGATTTGTCATTTTTTGCTTTCGAGAACAGATTTAAGGTCACTGTATCTGCATGGAATTGCAAGAATACCCGTTTGTTTAAAACCGAATTCTTGCTCGGCTTGATCCAACAGCTTGAGAAAACCCGGGTGAGCTAGATAACTCAGTTCCACAATAGACCTCCTCGACTCACCGTTTTCAGCTGTATGCACCACGAAATGCCCCTTCTTCACATCTTCCGGAAGATTACTATCCGGAACTGAATTCTCATCATCTTCAAAATCAAGATCCATTGCAGGGTTATGAGAATAGTATGTAATAAACGAAGAGAGGACTTTTCGGAGCATGTTGTTGACGAGTTTAAGGATAACTAAACCTCCACTCATCCTTAAAGTTCCAAACATCGAGCGTACGAAAAAAAGGACGGAACTTTATAAACCGGATTTGGGAGGGAACAAAAGATCCGGTCTTGACAGAATGTACAGTGTGATATATATCACTTTCAGCTCCCTTTTCAAAGTTTACGAGTAGTAAAGGACTGAAACCAAACGTGAATAGGACTTGACGGTGTGAGATGGCTATAAGAAGTAAGAGAGGAAGGATAAGGTATGAACATGTCTGAAAACAAATGGTAAGTTAGAGAGGGTTCTCATGCAGCATGTGCAATATGTGTGGGGGACCATAATTTATGTTTTAATGTTTCCATCCTGTCTACTGTTTGGTGCAGTGGAGAGATATTCTATTATGGTTAGTGATACTAAATGTTGTAACATGATTGTGTTCTTCGCTTTTAGGGTGAAAGTCGAAAACTGTAGCTACTGAGGGAATAGGGTAATTCTAGGTAGGTATCGAATAATTCAGACACCGTCATTAGGTTGGTTCATGAAATAACATTGAAGAAAAATATAGAGCCGAACGCAAGAACCATAAACTGATTAGATCGATATCGTTGTATAAATACACGGGCAAAAATCTATTCTTCGTTTACACACACCCAAATGGATGTGTGTGCTTTCGTATTTCGATGAAATGCTATCTAGGCAGTATGTTTTTTGTGTGTAGAACAATGAAAGGTATTATACTCGTTCTTTAGGCCGAGAGAAGGCGTAGCTCGACACCTTTTCCAAAGTTTCCGTTCCATTAGTCGTATTATTTCATCATGCTTTATATTGCTTTCTTAAAATTACAAGTCGAAAATCCAATTAAACTAAATCATCTTTTAGCTGAAACAGATTCTTCCCGGGCTTCAATCAAGATTAGAAAAAAATACCGGTGAATTTCACCGGGTAGGATTCCTCGTGTATAGATAACTCCCTATTTTACACACCCGCGTGTACGCGAGCGTAATTACGTTAGTTTTGCGGTGCAAAAAACTACCCGGTATATATATTTACAAGAGGTCTGTGTAATAACTACATCTTAATTTACAAGTACTTCACAAGTACTCTCCATGTGTACCCTTTGATATTAGGACAGAGTACTTATCAGATGACAGGCTGGAAAAACCAAGAAAAAACTCAAACCTTGGCAAAATGAAAATCTACCATTCATATTCAATTATTGATCATCCTCATACAGAACACACGAAAAGATTGAATTTTTATTCAAAGAGTTGGCTTACGCTCGAACGAGGTGCCAGGATCGTCTGTGGAGGGGAACACCAGAAAACAGGTGACCATAGCGTGAGGCGGGCCCCGCGTGCAACGCTGCTCCATCTCTTCAACCTTTTCGGGCTTGCCCGAAAACAGAGCCTCCACAGAGCCGTCTCTGCGGTTTCGAACCCAACCTTTTAACCCTAATTCGATTGCATTTTCGATTGTCCAGTTTCTGTAGAACACTCCCTGCACCCTCCCCTTCACCACCACCCTCACCTGCAATGCAATCGGAAAGCAAAATTAAATTATCTAGTTATGAGGGAAAATTAATAATAATAAAAAAAAAAAAAAAGTGGATGAAAGGGGTTTCAGACAGTTTTAGCGGCGGGGGAATTGTGGTCGGAGTTCAAGGAGGACATAGGAGAGCAAAGAGGGAGTAAACGGCGTCGGAGCAGAGGAGGAAGAGGAGTAGCAGGGAGATGAAAACAACGGCGAATCGGAAGAGAATGAGAAGGAAGAGGAAGACGATGAGGAAGTAGAAGAAGATTAAGCTGGGGGAATTGTCTACAGACATTGTTTACTGGCTGCGGCCATAGAAGTAGCTCGAGGGAATTCTGTTGGGTTGAAATGGCCGCCATTTTTGTTTAATTGACCATTCTGATTTTTGGATTTGGGGGAATATTGGGAGAAGAAAGAGGAAGCTTCTGGACCGTTCATTGGGCGAAATCCACGAATCTTCGGCCGGCCCAAAAGGAGGTTCTTTGGAGATGGAGATGGCAATACAATACAGAAGCTTCCAAAATTAATTTAAAAGATAAAATAATTTCTGTGTAATATATTATAATCTTGAATTCTAATGGGCTAATAAGGCCCATATTTTGATCATGGGCCTTATGAAAATATGGAATTGTTTAAAGCCCAATTAATTCTCACTATCGATAGTCGGATGGATCAATAATCGACTCATGAACCGACTCAATAAATGCTTGAACTCGAAATATTTATGGGTCAGACCCGACAAACATCGAACAAAGTTTGATTATTTAGTTAATCTACCCAAACAAACAATGCATATATAGATAGTACTACTATTTTTCAAAAAAAAAAATTATAAATAAATTGCTAATGAGCATTGACTCGATCTATTGACCTATTCCCACAACATAGTGCCAAGTGTATACTGCGTGGAGTGGGCCAATAAAATGAATTTAGTATTTTTAATTATTTTAAAAAGTTGTTTTCACTCCATGGAAACTGTTTTTCACGTATTGAACTAGTTAACCTCAAAATATTTCCGACCTCAACAATTATTATTTCGGAGAATTCATAATATTGTCTTTATAAGACACCAAAAGTCATATATTTGGACCAAATTGTGCAAGCACTAAAATTGCGTCTTTTTCACTCTCATGCAGAGTGACATGCAACTTTTTTTTTTTTTTTTGTATTGCTTCAATTAATAATTGATTCATATAAATTGCAAGTTGGCCTTCTCAAATTGCAATGTGTAAAATTGATTGAGACTTAACACTAACTGATATTATAGACGCATTCAAAAAATAACGTCATCATGCATGTTTGTTTGTTTTTTAGTGGATACATATAATCTTTTTTTACTCGCTAACAGTCTAATCATATTGAGAGGATGAGAGAGAAACTTTTGAAACTGCTGTGGAGATTATTTTTGAAAAATTAAACAAGCACGAAGTTATTTTCGAGAATGAATAAAAATGGATGAAATGGAAACGAAAACAAACATTCTGCAACGGTATAATTTGCACATATTTATTTAATGAACACATATTATTAATTCAATAAAAGGTATACTATGCAAAGATGAAATAGAACTTGAAGTCCTAACTATTTTGTCCCATTTGTAATTTTATTTTTTAGGTGATTGAAAACAAATTAAAAGAGTAATGGATTGAATTGTTGCTTGTAAGAAAAACAATTTGCTTATAGAGTTTGAGTTCTAAAAACATTAGAATTCTAATTCTAAAATAACACTTGTATATTTTTGGCGTTGTGTTGAAATATGCTGCAAATTACAGTTTTGTCCCTTTGTATATAATTATAGAAACTAACCCTAAATATTAGGCCAGACGATAAACACAACGAGAAAAGGATAAATATATCAGTTGAATCCGATTCTGATTACTTGTTTTTATTTGAACTTTTATTTTCCACCCTACTTAATATTAATATATTATATTAACCATTAGTGGATAATAAACACTAAAAGCCAAAAAAATAAAATAAAATGAAACATTATCTGGACCAAATAAAAGTGCATGGTGACGAGTGTAAGAAATTCAAGACCTAATTATATATGTAACGACATTGGATATTTTTTTATTTTGTTTGTATTAAGACATAAACAAAGAATTCCACCACACCATGATTTTGATTTTTTTGTACGATCACAATATTAAAAATAAAATGCATCAATCACACTGCAGCGAAAAAAAAAATTGATATCAATTGGTATAAATTATTGGCAAAATAATGACATATTTATTGAGCTAAATTATTTGAAATTTTCATCCAAAATTAAATTTAGTCGAGGCGTACAGCAGTAGTAGAACCTAACTTGAGCACCATGCATGCAGTGATAATATATTAATTAAATTAGGACTAATGAAAATAATTAATATGTGAATAATGGTATGCATCCACCTTCTGCCATATATAGACAATATTAAAAATAAAAAATAAAAAAGTGGCCTTTCACCTTTGCACAATTATTTGTTCATGCCTCTGACTCAGCTCTGACTATGACATACATACAATATATATATATACACAATATATATGTGCATGCATCATCTACTGTACATGACACATTCCATTCCTCTATCCATGCAAATTATATGTTTTAATTATTATTTATATATATACAAATAAAAAAAAAGGTTTTATTAATAGGAGTAATTATCTCTGCAATTAATATGATTTCATATTTAGAGTTTAGTGTTCACTATATTAATAATCGAATTAACAATGGTGTGTTCTTTTATTGCGATGAAAAGTCACTCATTTTTTTCTAGAAGAAATAAATCTAGGGTTTGATCATGTGTCATTCATCAGCTATTAAACGTTCTTAAAGGTCATTATTAAGTACTAATTGTTTTCTAGATCATTAATTAAGAGAAGACAAAAGTAATTAATTAAGTAATCAATATAAATTATAGTTGAAGAATTCAGTTTATTTGTGAAGACGCTTAACGCATTACTATTAATCCAGACTGTGTGTGTATGACAAAATCTCACAAAGCAATTAAGAAGATACTGGAAGTTTCTATACATTAATCCAGACTGTATATATGTTTACCAAATCCTAATTCGTCTAACATTAATCGCACGCACGATTTTATAATGGGAAATTTACAGTGTTCATCCCTCAAGTTTGTAGTGATTTCACATCTGGTCATCTATGTTCACAAAAAACACATTTGGTCCCTCATGTTTCAGTAATTTGACACTTTTGGTCATTTCCGTCAATTTACCATTAGTCCGTTTTTTACTACAGTGATGGGTACACGTTTGATTCCATTAGTTTTAATGGAAAATTGACGGAAATGACTAAAATTGTTGAATTTTTGAAACACGAGGGACCAAATGTGTTTTTTATGAATATGGGGACCAAAAGTGAAATCGGTGCAAATTTAATGGATGAAAACTGTATTTTTCTCATTTTATAATTAATTAACCCTGTTTATTATTAGTTAAAACTAGCTATAGCCAATTGTTTAGTCAAATTGTACTAATTGGTTCCGGATTTGGAGGTGAAAAAAATCAAATGATATCATTTTCTTAATTAATTACGATTAAATAAATTACATCAATAAGACACAATCTTATTCATAAGCATCGATCAAAACTATATATATGTATATATATATATATATAATGTGAAATATTAAACTTTACAATATAATTAAAAAAATGGAACTCTATAATTTAATTAATAATGGTTGATTAGATTTATAATCCACGTAGGTAGGTTTACATGACAAAGCATCCATTAGGATTTTCGTCGCTAAACATATGATCGTTGGCGGTCAGCAAAGTAGGCGGTGGTAGTGGTGGAGGTCCATGCTGACTGTACTGTGCCACGTAAGCCGCATTTGATGAGTAGCCTTGATAACCATAGTCATGATGATCATGGTACATTGATGGTACATGATGACCATAGTCATCTGCATGATGATGATTGCCATACATTGGCATCACAGCATAGTAAGTTTCCGGAATGTAACTATTATTATACTCCATCTTATTTACCTCAACCACCTTTGTACTTCCTTCGCCGCCGCTGCCGCCGCCCTTGTTTTTCTCTCCACCACCACCGGCCTCAGCCTTCTTCGGCTCATCACCTTTTTCTTTGTCACCACCGCCGCCTTCTTTTTCTTTCTTCTCTCCACCACCACCGCCAGCACCACCACCTTCTTTTTCTTTCTTCTCTCCACCACCACCACCGCCGGCGCCTTCTTTTTCTTTTTTCTCTCCACCGCCGGCGCCGGCGCTCTCTTTGACCTTGTCGGCGCCGGCGTCTTCTTTCGTCTTCTCGCCACCATTATTATCAACTTTCTTTGGCGGAGGAACAATCTCCACTCCTCTCTTTAGCTTCTCCTTCAAATAAGTTGTGAGCTCCTTGACATCCATTGTTCCAATCACCGTCACTAAATCCTTTTCTAAATCCGTCGCTACTGAGTTAACACCTATTAATTCATCATCACTTCATTATTAATTAATTGCTTTTTATTGACAATAATTACTTAATTAAGCTAAGAGATCCAAATTCTTATAATTAGGTGCACGTATATATATTCTTAATTATAAGATCATATAAGAATATTCTTTAATTTATTATATACACAACCTTATCTCTTTATAGCAATAAACTATTTTAATTCGTCCACATATGTATGCACTTATCTAACATAAAATTAGGAGTAATTATTAAATTAATTTGGTAATAACTCACCTTCAACATTCTTTAATATAATCCTCTTTATCTTATGTGCGCATCCGTCACAGTGCAATCTGATTTTCATCACCACAGTACTAACCACCGCCTGCCACCAATAAATTAAAATTAATAAATAAATAAAGCTAAATCAATTAATTAATTAGGCCAAAAAACAATTAAATTAATATAACTACGTACCTCTTTGGGTTTTTTATTCTCATCATCACCAGCTTTCTTTTCCGGTTTATCCTCAGCCTTCTTGTCACCACCTCCTCCGGCGGCGGGGGCGGCGGCGACACCAACTCCGGCGGGCTTCTTGGGCAGAGGGGAGATGAGATCCACCTTCTTCTTGGTCTTGGTCTCAATCTTCTCACGGAGCCAAGTGGGGTCCACATTCCCCGTGACGGTCAGTTTCTTAGCGTCACAGTCAGCCTTCACTTTCTCGACACCTAATTAATTATTTCACAAAATTGGGCCACACACCAATAATTCTTAGGCCCATTAAGATAAGGTTTTGCCCATATGCACCACCATTATTAATTTGTACCATTTTTAATTATTATACATTTTATTTATTAGAAAATTAAAAACAAAAATCTAAATAATAATAATGTTTGCCACCAAATCAAGAAAACCCGGTTTGGTACTTTTCACCTACTACTGCCCCATCATTACCATAAGTTTTAGAAATAAGAAATTTGAAATTAGAAATTAATAAGCCAATATGATTAATTACTGACTATGATTTATGAGTGAAATTAATAAATGAATTATGAACATAAAAATTAAATCTGAATAAATTACCTTCCAATTGGGTAATGAAGCGTCTGACTTTCTTAGCACAGCCTTCGCAATGCAAGTCTACCTTCAACACCACCGTGACCGGCGGCGCCGGCCCATCCTCTTTCATTCCACCTCCGTCCGCCGCCGCCGCCACCTTTTCTCCTCCATTCTTAGTCTCATCTTTCTGAATATATAAACAGAAAATAAGAACAATTGAGCAAAACTAATCCATTTTCATCTGCATTAATTGTAATTAGAGGAACTGAGGAAGATTAATTACCTCACCCATTTGCTGTTTTAATTATTTTTTTTTTGCAATTATATATTTTTAATAGGTGTGTGAGATTATTTGAAGAGAGAAAATGGAGGCAATTAATGGCAGGAATATATAGAGCTGGGCGGGGATTTTGATGATGTCATCACCTCGCCCCCAGCTAATAATAATTGATTAAAATAATAATAAAAAAAGATAAAAATAGAGAGACAGAGTTCTGTACGTATCTTGTGTGTATGTGGTGGTTATGCATGTGTGATGTTTTATGTATGGGATGTGAATTAAATGGCATGCATGATTGATGGGGCCCATGGGAATTGTTATTACACTATAATATATTAATATTAATTTTGATTAATTCCTAAAATTGTTACTTGCTAATTACAACTAACAAATTAAACCTCCCAAAGCAGGTTTTTTTTTTTTTTTTTTTTTTTAAATAATTTCGCAATTATTAAATGAAGGTTTTATTATTACAAAATTATTTGTGTTTGATTGATGTAACAAATACATGTGGTTAAATAGTGTTTAATCGTCAATGTGACAATCAATTGAACTTTAGAAGATGAAAAAAGTAAGCTACATTCCTTAGACAAATTGTTGGTGGCGAAACAGAGCTGACTAGGATTCAATGTACTAGTTTAAAACTTTGACAAAACTATAAAGTTTGGAATTAAATTAAATTAATTTAAATTAAAGCATTCATTTATCAACCACTTTAATATTTTTTTTCGATTCAACATGCTATAAAACCAAATTTGACTTTGGCATTTGCACACGAATGTGGAATCGCAGCACGTTTACTGTAAACGTTTTTACTTTTTACATTACAAATCTATTTATACATGCTAATTATACTATACATATATATAGGGTGCAGCAGCCAATCCATGACTACTCTTTAGGTTATGAATTTATAATAATGTTTTTCAATGATGTGTGCTGCATTTGTTATGTTTTGATAACATTTATTAATGTCTACAAATGAGCTAGAGGTTTTGTGTATTTTCGGCATACAAAAACAACTCACGTACCATTGAGTTAACTTACCAGTACATGCGTAATCAACTAGTCAACATGGAGCACTCTCAACCACTCAAAAGTGTTTTACTCGTAAATGTCCAATATACTCACAGAAGATGGAGATTGAAGATAGAAGATGGTTTGAATTTGAGAGGAGTGTGTTGCTCTTGTCTTTCTTTAACAATAATATAAACAGCCATAAAGACAGTGAAGACCTGCAACAAAATATTAGTCGATAATTTTACCGAAACCTTGATAACTAGATTGGGAGTGCGCATGAATAGTCGATATTTGTGCAAAACTAAACACAAATTATTAGTAATTGAGATCTTATAAGATCACATAGTCGATATTTGTGCAAAACTAAACACAAATTATCACTAATTGAGATCTTATAAGATCACATAGTCGATATTTGTGCAAACCTAAACACAAATTATCACTAATTGAGATTTTATACGATCACAAAATTATCACTAATTGAGATCTTATAAGATCACAAGTAAGAGTAATGCAACACCAAGAAATAATGAGCAGGCTAGGATAAAACATAAAATATAAAGACTGGAAAATACTAAATTGCTGCTATCAAGTCAAAAAATCTTATTTTAATTTAAGAATAATTATTCTATAAAATGAAAGGCTTAATGTATTTTTCATAAAATGAGAAATATAATATATTATTGTCCTTTTTTTTTTACAGCACATAAGCTATATAATACTAGTTATTGTACGATTGACAATTTATTCAATTTTAAAAATTAATTTGAAAATCTTTAACATTATCATTAATTATATATATTACTATTTTCTATATAATATATTATATTATAGCTGTTATCGAACATTAATTTTTTTAAGAAACAAAATCTTTATTTTTTTTATTCTTTTGGAAAAATCTAAAAAAAATATTTCTCTAAAGTTGAAATGAAAATTAAATTTAAAAACAAATATATTTGCGGTAAAATAGAAAAAATACAATAATATATTATATTTCTCATTTTACAAATTAAAAAAAAATGCATTAAGCTTTCATTTTATAAAATAATTATTTTTAAATAAAAACAAGAACTTTTGACTTTATAGGGGTAATTTAGTCTTTTTCAGTTTTCTATTCAAGGGGGCTATGTGCTAATTTCATACCATAACGGGGTCATGTGCAAAATTTCAAAACCACAAGGGGGTTATGTGCCTAATTTCATACCATAAGGGGGTCATGTGCAAAATGTCAAAACTACAAGGGGATATGTGTTTAAATTCATACCATAAGGGGGTCATATGCAAAATATCCAAACCACAAGGGGGTTAAGTGCTATTTGCCCTTAATCTTATTTCAAAATTAATTGTATATTAGTTTTTGGTTGTTTGGAATTGATATAAGATTAATTTTGATTGTTTAATAATTATTGTCCCAACAATAAAATAGTTAATAGTATAATTGAAATTTAATTTTGTAGTGGCCATTTAATAAAGAGGTATATACAGGGATTTTTATGAATTTAAAATTTTAAAAAATAATAACTTTTGGATGTCTAAGACGTTAATTAAAATTTCAAATAATAACTTTCTCTAATGTGTTATGGTACATTAATTTTTGTATATCTTATTAATAAAAACAAGGTTGCTCCTGATAAATCCTATGGTTTTTTTCTCGTCCATTTGATGGTTTTAATTATTATTTAATTAATAAATTTCATTTAATATAATTATTTTATCAATAATTAATAACTTGTTCCTATTTTATTGGCTCGACTCTATGCAATTAACTATTTGATGATTTTAATTATCATTTAGTTAATTAATTTCATTTAGTATAATATATTTTATTTAATATTATTTATTAACAAAAGAACCGATTTTCTAAAATCCGTTCGCGCGTGTGTGTATATATATATATATACTAGGTGAGTAGCACCGTGCAATGCTTGGTGCCGGTGCCCTGTTTATATATATTTGCAAAATGTATTTTTTTATGCTAGCGTGAGTTTGAAGGGGATAACGATATGCTACGTCGAAGTTTCTCCCATTTCCTGATCAATATTAGAAGACTGAATATAAGGATCACATTAAAACAGAGCATTGTATATTGTGAAACGGGCTATGAAATAAGAGATAAGATTGATATGTAAAAAGGTAAAAGACCAAAAATTATATTTATTAATGATATAGAGCTGATGTTATACAAGTTAGTATTCTATGATATGTAAATGATAGAATGTTCGTACATAATCGGATTAAGAGAATCATTTGAATCACTTAAAATGGGCTTTTAATCAGATTGGGCTGCATTTAAGGGAACAATTGGATCAGGCCCAATTAAAAAATAAATCCTCACAATCGGTAGTATCGCCCCAGCGGAACACGCGAAAGATGCCCGAGGGAGAGAAAAACGAGGCGAAAAAGTGATAACGGAAATGGAAAATTGGGAGAAGAGAGAGAGAGAGAGAGAGGGGAAAAAGAAGCAATGAGATGGCCCGGCGGATCTCCACGGGCGAGGCGTGGGTGATGGACAGAAACCCTCCGATATTTGCCGCAGTGTTGAACGATGAATTGTTGTTTAGCTGGTTCGATTGAAATTTCGGCGTCCGTATCTTAGCTGCATGTCATTGATGCGCTGGTAGATGTTACTTTTGTTCTTGTGTTGTGCTTGAATGTGGCTAATAACGGTTGATTTTCAGTTTGTGATGGCTTATTGCTGAATTTGGAGCTGAATTTTGGTTTATTGCTGACAGGTTTGACAGTGGAGTAGTGGTGGTGCATGCGTGTGTTGGATGTTAGCCAGTGCTCAGCTCTGGTGGGGGTTTCGACGATTCATTTGTTGCGAGGTTATTTCGATATATTCTCGTGGCTTTAGGCATTTGGTTCTGGCTGTGTTTTGAATTGACTGTGTAGTTTCTTAAAATTAACGTTTGGAAATATTGATTGAACAAATCGCTTATGAGGACTTGAATTTAGGCTGTTCACAGTGATTTCCGTCGTGTTTTTTCTTCAAGTTTTAGGCATACGATTTATAAATAGCGATAACTTTGATTTTGAATGATTGAAGAATTAAAATAAATTGAATGTAGTAATCTATCAACCACCGTCATATATCTGATGTATTTATAAAATGCTGTATTTGTCTCGTTAAGTTTCATGGATAAAATATTTATTCTCCAGATTTGGGTGATTCAGCACGACTTATTTATGATGGTATAATCAAATCTCTGGTCGTAACAGTTTCTGTTCCGATTAATTCTGAAAGATATGTTTGAATTGAATATAACTTGAGCTTGACTCACAAGTTTACTAATACTGATGAAAATCTCCTTAAAGTTGAACTTTCTTGTTTGGTGGTTTTCAGGCAAGAATGTACTTGGGGTCCGATCTGGAGCTTGAGCTCGACAGAGTAATAGAAGATCTTTAGGGTATCGTGATGACAAATCCGAATAGGTTTGTTCAATTCTTATGTACCACTATCTTGATGAACAAACTAACCAATGGTTTACAGTCATAGTTATTTTGGTGCTTTGGTCAAGTATATAATTCCAGAACTTGAGTTTCATGGTTTAATTAATTTGAATTTAAGCTCATAGATTCCATAATAGCATCGCATTTTATTCTTAATTCCATCATACTTGCATTCTCTATTTCGTCATCTGATTCCTTTCAACTTAGATTTTGGTTCCCTGAATCTTTTCAACTTTCTACTTTCTGATAAAGATGTCAATTCTTTTTATAAACATATACCTAGAAAGAAAGAGACAATTTAAAAAGGAATGGATATGCGAATATCTACTAGCGTGTATAAGGAATAATGAACTTTATTAGTCATTAATTAGGCATGCAAAACATGAAAGACATGCAATGTTGACATTATAAAATTTATTTTCATGCTGCATAGATGTGTGAAATTTAATTTACAGCCTCCCAGTGCAACTTTGCAAATCGCATCAATAATGACCAAATTTGTTTATGTTTGGTAGTGGATATATAGACACACACACACACATATACACGTACAAATGGATATATTTTCTATTTGTCAAGGGATATTAAAACATGACTAATTAATGAATCATATAGTCTGTAGAGGTTGGAACAAATTTTGAAATCTCACGAGCTTATCCATGGCAAATTTCATACCTTCTCCGCCATTGCAGAGGAGAATTTCGTTTCTTAAATGCATGAGATTTTATTTTATAATCTAATACTATTCTTACCATAGTGCTTTCTCTTTTGCAGATGCACGGGATTTGTGGATTCAGTTCTATATTTCAGGGTCATTGTTGAACCACATGCTTGGGACTAGTTCTTGGGGAGTCAAGAATGTCATATATAGGATAACTAACTTAAATTTAACCACTTAAACATTACTTGTTAGTTGTTTAACAAAGCCACATGTATATGGAGCTTACTTGTGGTTAACAACATTTATTTTAATTACACCATGGCCTTATTTAACATTTATACATTAACAAAAATAAAAAAATTAGAGAACTCCGACCACCTATACGTATATATCAAGTAGACATTAGAGCCCATAGGTTTCACTAGGTCATCTTAATTGGGTACAAATGTCCCAATATACCCAACTCCGATGATGAAGAACGCCCCCGCTTGTAGTAGTAGGTAAATAAAGAAGTGGTTGTGGCCATATAGCATATTGTATATCGCACAATGCAGCAAGTACATTCCTACTACGATCTCCAAGATGTGAATCCTGTTCATAACATGCATTTGCTTAAGTTAGTGCACTACAATCATTGAATATGTTAAGTGGTAAGTGTCATGTTTGATCAGTGAAAGGTTCTATTCCTTATAAAAAAAATTATTGTTGTTGAGTTAGGGCCTGTGTTACCTTTCTGTGATTCGCGATCGTGGTCTCTTGAATGTTTTTGCATTGTACTTTTGCTTCATTGTGTTCCCAAGCTTTTCAGTCACAACCCATTCGTTAACTCGGTTGGCTTCAAGGAGTCCTATTATTGCTGCCTTTGATCTATGAAGAGACATAACATTCTCAAACAGTATCCAAAACACGAGAAGATGCATAGACCTGTGATAAAGTAAGTGCAATTATGCATCAGTTAGTATGACATCGAGATTTACAAAATTTGATTAAAAAATAACTAAATTTCTCTTATTTGGATTTTCATGCCTGAAAGTGGAAGCTGCGTTCAGAATAGTAATGCATGCTGGGAGATAAATGGCGAGCGGTCGTGGGAGATCGACTTCAGGAACTAGGATCGTGGCTGGGATTATGATGCAGTAAAAGAAAAAGGTAACCCAGTGGGCTATTATTTTCCTTACAAAGAAAAATGCATAAATTACATGCCATTTCTTCCAGATTGACACACGCTGCATTAGATAAGAACAAACCATGTTAGTTTTCATAATTACCTCGAACAAAATCCTAGATTTATTACCTCGCAAAGAATGATTTCCTTGAACATTTTCCTGAAGAGATTAGCAGGTCCACATGACCAGCGATGCTGTTGATATCTGTATGCCTTAAATGTGCTCGGTAGTTCATTTTTGACCTGAAATAAGGGGATTGTGTTTGAGTTGCTGAAGTTTTATCTCGTAACAGTAATTATTAAATTTAAGCGAAGAATTCAAAACTCACTTCTAGATCTCCAACAAATAGGAATTTCCATCCCTTGAGGCTAGCCCTAACTGCAAGGTCCATGTCCTCTACTGTGGTTCTATCTTTCCATCCACCAGCATCAATCAGTGCTCTAATCCTCCAAACACCGGCAGTCCCTACAGTTTATTTCAAATACAAAATATCAACTTTTTTCTTCCCTAAAAATTTCTTACTATATACAAAATTCTGTAAAGTGAAATAGACTTTGCCGACAACCATTGAATCCGAAGAATGAACATGTTGAGGAGCCCACTTCTTGTTCAACACTGAAGTGATAGTGTAGTGACATCTCCTGGAGGCGCGTCATTAGACATTCATCTGCATTCACTGCAAAGTAAACTTGTCGTTAGGTTAGTTGTTCGAGTTGTTTGGTGTTCAATGAACTTTACCTCCATACTACAACATTATAGTGTAGGATGCCTTACCAAATTTCCACCTGGCTTGGACCAAGGCCAACTCTGGATTTTCAAGTAGGTAGGGGACAGTTCTCCATAGATAATCTTCTGCTGGCTGAAAATCAGCGTCGAAGATGACAACAAATTCACAATCGTTCACGTAATGCTTCTTTAGACCCTCTCGGAGGGCTCCAGCCTTGTACCCGTTCCTGTTGTTCCTTGTCTCGTACTTGACATTCACCCCTTTCTCTATCCATTTTCGGCATTCTAGTTCCACCATTGTCTGCATGAATATTCTATGGAGTCACTTATACAGTCACGTATTGTGATAGAGTCAAACTAAAATTTACTACAGAGAAAAAATGATACCCGTAATGCTTCATTGGTGGAGTCATCAAGAACCTGTACGATGAGCCGATCTGATGGCCAAGATAACCCGCATGCAGCTCCAATTGAGAGCTTATAAACCTAAGGCAAAAAGAAGCTTTTGGTTTAGTTCCTCCTCTGATTAGATTAAATTTGAAGAGGGTTTTATTTGTAAACTCTTTCCTTTAAACCTCTAAATTGCTTAAGCATAAGGTCTAATACAAGGAATCTCATAATTCCGAATAGGTTTTACTGATGTTCAATTCATATGGACTACTCCTAGTATTGGACATTTTAAAAAAACAATAGACATTGTCGTTTTGTTAGTAGTGAAAAAAAGGAGATGAGGTAAAGTTGTTTTGACTTCCTTTTGCTAAAAGGAACATTAACCTTCTTCTGATAGACGGAGTAAATTTATTTCTACATTGGTCCTTTTGCGGGAATAATGAAAAAGGAAATCTGACCATTTTAATACATGAATTTTTTGAATGCAATATCCAGCATTAAGGCTCATGATTATGTAGATTTTGATTGCATTAGATAAAGAATCAAACAACAACTTAGTTAGAGTTCTTTATTAGGCATCTGTTAGCATAAATATCAATCTTTATGTTCTTGTTCAGAAGACTTGTTGATTTATACTAGCTAATTGAGCATGTAATTATACGACTGAAAAAAAAAATCAGTTGCTTACCTCTTTCTCGTTGAACATTGGGATTTGGACCAGCAACTTGGGGTGTTTCTTGTTTTTCTCTAGGTCTTCTTTTATTGCATCCAGCTGGTACTTGGTGTATCTTTTCTTGCCCAGGCATTTGACACAGACAATGACAACTGCCATGTAAATCCGTTCAATGAAAAGCATAACGGACATGGTCAAACATATGTATACTGCAGTTCGTAAAAGAGGTACAATAATCGGAACTCGTATACAATCCCAAGCATAACTGAGCCTTCTCGCTGGATCATAGGTCTCTATGGCCTCGGCCTTGTCAAAAAATCTGCTTCTCATTGTGAGAATATAAAAATAATTAGATTTTTAGTGTAGAAAGAAAAAAATAAATTGTATCAGAAGTCGGACAGAGAGAGGGAGAGAGAGAAAAGGCGAGAGCTCTGGTAATGAGGGAACTGAAAGCAATGTGGGCAATGTAATATTTTGCTTTAAATAGGCACAGGGAACACAGAGGCATGGGTGAGGGCTCATTTAGGCTTAGGTGTAAGGGTGGACAACAGAAAGTGATCTACTAAACGTAATCTTTCTTATTGTGAGGTACACGCGGTGCGCATGCAAGTGAATTTGCTGCAACGTAGCATTTGCTAGCTGGCAATCTGTCCTTTTCCTGCCGATGTGTAGTTGAAGATATAAAAGTTAGATCATCATGATTAAATGTCATTTGTTCTTACATTAATTATTGGTATACGACATTCTGGTTGAGTGTTAGAGATAGAGTTCAATTGCGATGTGGTTTCCGAGGTCATCTATAATGCGTTTTAGGTGTAACGTCCCTTGTTTTCTGGCCTCCTGTTTTCATTTCCCCCTATTTCACCGATAAATATATTGGAATTAATTTTAGTCCCTTGATTTAGTATTTTACTATTGACGTTGGCATCTATGAGTCAGTCAACATCGAGTATTTATGTAAAAATAGATTAAAAAGAAGGGGGGAGGAAATACATGCCAGATTTTAGTATAATCTAAAGTTTAGTTAATCGTAAATATTTAAATAGGTTTTATAGTTTATAAAATCTGCCAAAGGCGATCGTCATTACTTGCATGAATACAACTCAATTTTTGTCTTTTCACTATGAAGTTGCTGGAATAATGCTCTTACTTTTCTTAAATCTAATCTATAAGGACAATATTGAAATTTTATCAAAATAAGTAGTAAATTAAAGTTTGTTCTGCAAATATATTAACTCTTATATTAACAATTTAAAGCTGAATTTCAATAGCAAATGACAATTGTAGGAATTTTTTTTCTCCGTTTTTTTTGTTTTTATTTTTAATTTCGGTTTGTAATTTAATAGCAAAATAGTTTCATCTATTTGAATTATTTCCTTTTGTGTTATAAAATCTAGTTTGCATGTGATCTCAATTTAACATTTAAGTTGAATGAAACAGGAACTCGAATACATTACATCGTAGTTGTTCAACTTGCATGGCCTAGCAAATAACCGTGACATATGAAGCATGAAGCCTGTGGAGTAAGTCTTTACATTGTTATGGTCGCAATTTTCTTGCCATAACTCGATTTCTGTAGTTCTTTGAAATGGTTACATTATATCCTCCTACATTCATAGTGTCACATTTTCCCCCATTGTTTAGTAGCCACTACTTGTGTATTGAGTAGCCATGCTCATAAAATTTCCTCGTTTTTTTACGCGTCTTGTGTAAATTTACTTTATCACTGTTCTTCTATGTGATCTCTTTGAATTTTCAGTAGTCAGAATATTTTCATTGATCAAACATTGCATGATATCATATTACATTGTTTCACACTAGCTTTAAGCATTTTAAATATGCAACAAGGACCTATATCTTGGAGGTCACAGTAGGTATGTAGGTGATGCATTGTGCGATCTACAATATGTCGACTCCAACCTACTTTTTCATTTACGGCTTTTCCTTAATTGGAGTCTGGTATATATTGGAATACTTTCTACCCGATTGAAGCTGAAGAGGGTGATAGACACAACATTTACTGAATACATTCTAGTGGTTATTTGAAGTTAAAATAGCTACTATACATATATTAGCTATTTTTATCTGGCATTGACCACCAGATTGTCAACACGTCGGTATGATTAACTTTTAGGTTAGGTGAAATTCCTTTTCAATTTAACAAGAGTTTTCAACATAGAACCTTTATGACATTCCTGAACTCTCCAATACTATTTCCCCAAGTATAAGCATGTGGTCCATCATGAACCTCAACCGAAGTTCAGCTTCCAAGAAAAGGGTCTACAATATATACGAAACATGCAGCACTCTCTCCCAAGCAACTGTAAGTTTTCTAATTTCTCGCCCTATTGATATTTACCTTTTTGGATATGAACAAAACATCTGATTTAAAAAGATTTATACTCTCACAAGCAACTGGTAAGTTTCTATTCGGCAACTACTTCACATAGACTGTCGTACGTGACATTTTAATTTTCTGCAGGAACTCTATTCTACTTGTATGAAAAACATTGGGCAGTCGAATATATCTCTTGACGTCATACATTAGCATTAAGCTTAATACGAGAGATATTTTCAATATGGTGTGCATAGCCCTCAGTAACCAAATCCAGGTAACAATTTCTCAACTTGTCTGTCTTCGATTTCTTTTTAGGCAGTACAGGTTCTAAATATTTATAGCTTGCAATTGTAAACCTTAGAAGGTGGACTGCTGTGTTTACCCGTAACTTTCATTTTGCAGAGACTTAGTAGCACGTCTGCCACTCCATATCATCGTGCATTGAATATTCTCTCACAAGTCACAACAATGACACCAGAATTTGTGGAAGAACATTTGTCCTTGTTACAGTCATCGGTACGAGGCATGTCAATTGTAGTTAATAGCCTCTCCTGATCTCGTATTTAGCTACATTCTTGGCGGGAATTTCGGAATGTAATGGCAGAATTGATTATAATAAATACTGATGGTAACAACCTTGTATATTTCTGAAATTTTGCTTACTACTACGTTTCATTTCCACTGCCAAACGATTGAATTGGGCCCAGTCAGAAATTCCCAGATTGCAGCCCAAATCTATGTCTTCTCTTCAGCCTTGGACAATTGATTCGACTTCTTCAAAACGGTGTCGTTGGCAGCAGACCCAATTTCTCCCATCTTCGTCTCTAAATGTGCACCAAGATTGCACATTGTGGGGAAATTCTATGCTACACCTGGTGAATATAACCAGGCACCCTAATTAATAAGATTCCCACTACGGGTTCAGTTATGGCCCAATGGGTTTTTAGAAATATAATTATAAAATAAATAAAGAAGGACACATGTCAAGAAAAGAGCCACCCGGTGAAAATCACCGGGTGTAGCATCGTATTCCCCGCACATTGTGTACGTTAAAAAACATATTGTCTTAAAAAGATTTAATTTGAGGGCACTGGAAATGAAATTATATAGGGTAAATTACAAACACCCCTGAGGTATGGTTAAATTAAAAAAACCCCCCTCTGTTTGGATAATTACATCTACCCCTCAACTATGATTTTTTCTTAGATCTCCACCTTTATGGTGCCAAATTCAACATAGTCATCTAGATTCCGTGAAATGTGCTCCAGTTTGTACTTGTTTTGTGTAAAAATACTAGGGTTGTGCATGGATCGGTTTTAACCACCAACCAACCCATTTTCGACCCATAATTTGTGACGGATAATCAACCATCAACCGACCCATTTAAGTTGGGTCGATAATCTCAACCAACCCATGTATAGTTGGGTCGATAATGGTTTCTAATATGCTATAAAGTTGGTTAGTCGGGTAATATCGGCCAACCAACTTTATTTATTAATTTTATTTAAAATATTTAATATTTTTAATTTCAAATTTCTATTTTATATCACATTTATTAAATTGTTTAATATTGACCAAAATCCTAAAAGCAATAAATCTAACCTAATTATATATTTTGAACTATTTTAATTTTAAGACACATAGTCTAAATATTTGGACGATTATTATTTGTTGAACTATTTATGTTTAATTGCAATATATATGGCCCGTAATGTTTTTAATTATTTTTTATTTGAATATTGTTGAACTAGTCATATTAAATTTATAAAATATATAGCGTTGTAACAACTAATAAAATATTAAATAAAATTAAAAAAATATTTAGATGGATGACCCATCAACCAAACCATCAACCGACCCACTAAATTGGTTTTCAACCATCACCCAACCCATGTAAATTGGGTCGATAACGGTTTCCAATATTGACCAAAGTTGGTTGGATGGGTTGGGTTGGTTTTATGGCTGGTTTTTAACCAAACCAACCAACGCACAGCCCTAAAAAATACAATTTCTGATGCACCACAAACTGATATATACAAGCTAAAAATCACATATTATGATCATCTTGCTTCATAATGTAGAGTTTGAATGGGATAAAACGGGTACAAAAGTGATAATATTCCATATAATCTCGAAGATTCCACTAAATTTGATGAGTTGAGGGGATGGTTGTAACTATCCAAACAAGAGGGGTGTTTTTGTAATTTGACCATACCTCAGGGGTGTTTGTAATTTACCCAAATTATATATGATAAAAATTAAAAATAATGCACATGCTATAGTATACTACAACGAAATTAATTATAAAAAAAATAAAAAAAAAAAGTAATAATCTGGATTTCATCTTGACGAGGGTGTGAGTCTCTGCAGCTGCATCATACGAGCATATATCCCATCAGGATAATTCTTCAAGAGATGAGAATGGGAGCCCTGTTCCGCCACTTTCCCATCATCAAGCACCGCAATCACGTGCGCATTTCTGATCGTCGAAAGCCGGTGCGCCACCACGATCGTCGTCTTCCCCGCACAAGCTCGTTCCAGCGCTTCCTTTATACACCTCTCCGACTCCACATCGAGCGCGCTCGTCGCTTCGTCCAGCAACATTATCTCCGCCCTCCTCAACAATGCTCTGGCAATAGCAATTCTCTGCTTCTGCCCCCCCGACAGCTGCACCCCTCTCTCCCCTACAAACGTCCTGTATCCCTCCGCCAGCGACCCTATGAATTTATCCGCGTCCGCCATTCTCGCTGCCTCGACGACCTCCGATTCCGTCACCGACTCACCCCCGCCGTAGGCGATGTTGTCGTATATGCTCGTCGCGAATAGGCACGGCTCCTGTGGGACCACCGCCACGTGGCGCCTCAACGACTTGAGATTGTACTTTCTGATATCCTTCCCGTCCACGAAAACACGACCCGACGACGGCTCGTAGAATCTCTGTATCAGAGATATCACGGAGCTCTTGCCGCACCCGCTTGGTCCAACTAGGGCTAGTGTTTTCCCGGGCCGGGCCCGTAGGTTCAAGTCGCGGAAGATCGACACGTCGGGCCGGTTCGGGTACGAGAAATCGACGTGCTTGAATTCCACTTCACCACGGAGCTTCTCCGGGTTGGAGTTGTTGGTGGTTTCCGGCGGGTCGTCGGGGTCGATTTCGGTTCTCCGGTCGAGGAGGGAGAAAACGGAACGCATCGCTCGGCCGCCCTTGATGAAATCGGGGGCTAGGGTTAGGGTTTCGGCGGCGCCGTTTGCGGAGACCATGAGCACCATGAAGACGCGAATGGTTTTTGAGAAGTCGGAGATTCCGTTCTTCACGAGGTACGAGGCGTACCATAACCCTAACGCGTAGGAGGCGTAGAGTGCGAATTGGGCGACGCCGTAACCGATCCCGGCGACCTGCCCCTTCCAGAAGCACCGCCGGAGCGGCGGTTGCAGACTGGCGATGAAAAGGTTGAGAATTTTTGACTCCGAATTGAATGCCGCTACTGTTCTCACATTCGCCACCGCTTCCCCCGCCAGCTGTGTTGCCTTGGAGTGCGCCGCCTCCAAGTCGCCGGAGAATCCAGTCATAAACATTTTCTGTCCAAAACACACACACACACACAACAATGATTTTTTATTTTTTTTTAATTTATTTTTCCACAAAAAAATAATTAAAAATTAACCTGTAAGACAGTAGCTGCAACGACGAGAGGAAAAACAGCAATCAGAACAAGTGCAAGCCGCCATTGGAGCACAAATCCAGCAGTGCAAGCCACAAGCATAAGAGCAGAGTTCTGCATAATAACAGAAATCCGATCTCCGATGGCAGATCTAACGTTGTTCGCATCGAGCGCCAGCCTGGCGGAAACCCTAGAGCTCTCGTTCTCTTCCATGTCGAACCAGGCCATTTCATTCTTCAGCACAGCCACAAGCATCTTCTCCCTCACGCGCTTGGTCAGATTCTCCCCGACAACGTCCCAATAGAAATGCTGCAGGGTATTAAAAACGAGCGCAGCCGAAGAAACTCCGATCAGAAGGTAGCAGTACTTCCCAATCTGTTCGATCATGTAAGCATGGTCCAGGCTGTAGTACACGCTCATAACAGCACTCAGCACATAGGCGAAGAACGCGCTAAGCGAGCCGCATACGACCGAGCCTATTGAACCGATCAATGCGTAACCCCATTCCGGAGAATTCATCTTCGCCAGACGCAAAAAGGAACTCGCTTGCTCTTTGAAAGCCAGCTTTTCGAGACGGTAATTAGGGTATGAAGAGGCTTCCATGGAGAGGCTGAAATCCGATGTGGAGAAATCGGATAATCTTCTCGAGTAAGGCGATCGCCCGTAAGAAGAGTTCCTCGTGATTATCGGTGAACTCACCGAGTTTCTTGCACTAGACTGCCTGTAATAAATTATATAAAAAAAGTAAGTGATTAAAAAGTCACTAAATTAAATAAATATTTTTTTACGAGATTTTTTTTGAAGGACCTTGCGCTGCTTTTTCGAGCAGCTTCGAGGGCGGCTTCTTGGATGGTGATGAGGTTGGAGTAGAGGCTGTTTTGGCCTTTCGAGATGAGGTCTTCGTGGGCCCCCATTTCGTGGAGGATGCCTTGGTGGAGAACGGCGACGAGGTCGGCTTTGCGGATGGTGGAGAGGCGGTGGGCGATGACTAGGGTGGTTCTACCAATGATGAAGCGGTCGAGTGCTTCTTGGACTAGCTTTTCCGATTCGGAATCTAGTGCGCTCGTTGCTTCGTCTAGGAGAAGGATTGATGGGTTTTTCAGCATTGCTCTTGCTATTGCTATTCTCTGCTTTTGCCCGCCGGAGAGTTGTGTTCCTCTCTCTCCTACCTGAGTATCGTAGCCGTCTGGTAGCTTAACGATAAACGAATGCGCATTAGCCACTCTAGAAGCTTCCTCGATTTCGATCAAACTCGCATCTGGTCTTCCCAATAATATATTTTCTTTAATGGTGGTTGCAAATAAAGCCGGTTCTTGGCTCACCAGACCAATTTGCTGCCTCAGCCATCTCAATTTCAATCTCTTGATATCATGCCCATCTAGCATAACTTTCCCTGTATATGTAGCAGTTAAAAACTATTTAGTTAACCCACAAATTCAATATTTTTTTGTCCATTATATAGTAATTGGAAAATATACCTGAAGAGGGATCGTAAAATCGCTCGATGAGTGATACAACTGTGCTTTTACCAGAGCCACTGCTGCCGACCAAGGCTATTGTTTTTCCGGCAGGAACAATGAGAGAGAATTTGTTGAGTACTCGGCTTTCGGGTCTCGATGGGTAGGAAAAGATCACATTTTTAAGCTCTAATTGACCCGTTATTGATTCTAGTTCCAAACCCGATTCTTTGTTTCGTTCGACGCTTGGTTTGTGGTCGATTACACAGTATATTTTAGCTGCTGCGGCTCTTGCCTTTGCGAATGCAGCCATGCTTGGTGCAGATTGCCCCAAAGCCCTATACAAAAAAAAAAAGAAATAATTTTTTTTTTTCATTTTTCTTCTCGATCGAATGTTGTTTGAAAAAATTGCTATTAATGAATTGACTTACAGGCCACCAATCATGACGGCAAACATGGTTGATATCGCAAGCCCTCCGTTTGTGTAATGGTGCCTAACTAGATAACCTCCATACCAGAGGAGAAGTGCATAGCAGCAAAATACGGTGAAATAAGTTGCTCCTAATCCCATTCCTTTAGCAAATCCGGTTCTGTAACCGATTTTTTGCGAAACTTTGAGGGCTGCTGAGTAGGATTGCAGCGCTCTCGATTCGCCCACGAACGCCAAAACTGTTCGAATTTGGCCTATTGTCTGCATTAGTAGAAACAGAGCAATATTCAAGGTGTTGTCCAATAATGTATTCTATATATATATATATATATATATATATATATATATATATATAAACACCTGCTCTGCAATATTTCCTGCTTGGGAGAGAGCTTGTTGGCTCTTGCCGGAGAGTTTCGCTAACGTGACGGCATGAATACCTCCGATGACAGCTATTAGAGGAACGACGGCAAGTGTGACGAGAGCTAGCTGCCACACTGCAGTGAATCCCACGACAAATCCAGACACAAATGTTGCCATGTAATGTAAGAAATTCCCCAACTGCAGACAACAAAAATTGAGTTCCAAAAATCACAATTATATGTCAATTACAAAAAAATAAAATAATAAAAGGGTTCTTTATCTTGGTCGACCTTTTCACTAATGGCATCTTGAACAAACACAGCTTCGGTGTTAATGGCGAAAACTACATCGGATGTACGGACTTGTGTATCGAAGAATTGAATATCTTGGTTCAGAGCAGCTTCTAAGTATTCGATCCTCATTTTTGTTGATTGTCTTTCTCCACTCCACATCCAACATGATATCTCTGCAGAATCAATCTACTATTAAAATCCTAATTTTTTCATTAAATAAAGATTACATTTTTAATTTTTATTTTCTTAATCGGTGGTGTTTTTGGGTTATACCTGCCCATGAAGATGCCCAAATAGCAGCTCCAACTACAAGAAAGTAATAAGCATACTGCAAAAATAATCATAATCAAGATTCAAGACAGAGAAAACTATAATGTAACTTCAAATTTGTGAAAGATCAAAGATTGGATTTTTACCTTCAAAACTTCTTCCGTCATCTTATCGACATTGTCGGCATTAGAACCGAAGGAATTAACGAGATCGGCGAAGAATCGAAGGAACAACGGCAACGAGCTGCCATGAACAATGGCGCCAACTGTACCGATTGCCATTAGAAAATAATCAAGCCCATCGGCGAACCGGAACAGCTCTCGAAACCCGACGGAAGGCGGCGGCGGGGGAGGAGGGGGATTCTCCGGTGCACCGCCGCCGTGTTTCTTCTCGCCGGAGGTGGAAACCTCCATTGCTGGTAGTTTGAGCTGTCCGGTGCTTTGTGGTGCAGTTCGTGCAGTTGAAGAAGAGAGGTAATTATCCGGTGAGGTTGATGAGACAACAAGTTCAAGGTCCTGCAGTTCGGACAACTTCCATTGCTCGATTGTATTTATCTCCTCACAATCTTCTTCCACCATATTTTCTTTAATTTGTTAGCTTCTTAATTACGACACACAGAAAAATTAAATTAATAAATAAATTAATTATCAGGCCACCAATTTGTTTTTTATTACAATTATAAAACAAATCATGCTTCTATGCCTTTATTTTTTTGTTTCTTCGCGCTCATTTATTCTTCAATGGCTGATCTTCTTGATTTATTTTATTCAGAGTTTTAATATTTATAAATGTTTTTTTTTATTACATGTGGGGAAAGCAAGCATCAGTGAGTGTGTGTGTGTGTGTGTGAGAGAGAGTGTGAAGTACTGGACTTTGGCACCCGACAAAAATTACTGTGTAAAAATGTAGATACAAAATTGATGGAAAAGAAACAAATATTACATTCGATATATGTATGTATATATAATATATATGTGTAATCAAGTTTGGTAGATGCAGTAATTTATAATTGAAATGGGACTGTAATAAATTACACTTTTCGGGTTGATAGGTGTTCATTGCCACACTGAGTCATTTATTTATTAAATTAATTTTTTTTTTTTATGAATATATTTTATTGCTTGTGGAAATTGTGTAGCTTCTTATACAAGTTAAAACTTGTGGAAGAAATTGAGTCCATGGTCAAACTATGTACTTTCTCTAGTCTCACTCTACCCTTTAAATCCGGTTGTTTTTCTTCTACTTTATTTCGTTTTGTTAATTTATTAATTTTACAACAAAAAAAAAGAAAAAAAGAAATAAAAAAATGCATCATAAAAATTCGTTAGGATCATTTCACACTCAAATCGACTCTAGACGGTACGAGAATTCAAAAAAAATCTTGGAAATTATGAATTACATAACTTGAATTCTGCAAGTTTTTATCTTGTGGTCAATTTGGGCTTGAGTTAATAATATGTTTATATTCGAGCTAATTTGGATCTATTGATGTGTACTCTGAACGAACCCAAACCGAACCGAAATCGAAACCTTATCAATTACTTAGGGTGAAAGTAGGTAATTTTAATTCATAATTTTTTAAGAATTAAAGATTTTTCTTACAATCCTATAAGAAATGTATTGAACTACTAATAATTGTAGAAGAGAATAAAACAACTAAGATACAATCACTTCTCCACTAAAACACCACATATTTCCACCAAAACTTGAATTAATTCATCCAACTAAAAAGTTTTTGAGCAGGTACAAAAAACACCATCACCTGGATTTATTTAAAAAAATCAATAATTTTTGTCAGAAAATCATCGCAAAATCTGCAGATTCCTCTCCCTAAACACTTGTTTAAAGTAAAAGACAGAATAATTACTGACAATTTTAATTAGTGACATTTTCTTAGTGTAAAGGGGTGATAATTATTAATTAGATTACATACACTATGTGTAATTAGTTGCTTTAATCAGGTGTGCTTTAGATTATTCTTAAAGGAAAAAAAATTAACCTGGAAAAAAATCAGCTGCTTTTAAGCTAAAAGAATATGCTCTAAAGCAAACTTGGATCTGATCAAATGAGAACCACATCAGCTTTTTCTTTTTTTAAAACCCCATCAATTCTTTAACAATAGTTGGGATCGAACTTAAAAAAATTAAATTTAGATCAAAGTATATATATTATATATACAACAATTATTTATGATTGATTAACTAATTAGATGCATATTATTATTTTTTTTTTTATTTTTTTTTTAATAATTTTTTTTGTAAAATTAATAAATTGACAAATTTGACCCAAAAAAGAAGGAAATTTCAGAAAATGGGTAATATATATATATATATAGGTAATATATATATATATATATATATATATATATATATATATATATATATATATATATATATATATATATATATGTGGCTTTGATTACATGTCTGCAATTCCTTCCCAACAAAGGTTTCTTTTGTTTTTCCACTTCCCACGCGCATTTTTCTGTCTTCCTAACTCAGCACCTGTCGTTTTCACTCACTGTGTATTAATAATTATTTTTCTTTTATTTTTGTTTTATTCTTTTAAAATTATATATGTAATACAGATTCGTAATTTCTAGTTATAGAAGCAAATAAATATTCAGTGCGAAAGTAATTTCTGACTCCCCTTAATTTATCTCTGGGCTTTTTATTTAATTTTCTGGATTTATTTGACATTGCATTCACTATTGGATTAAGTGGGCCTCATCGTTTGAAAATCCCAAACTATTGGATTTTTATTTTTATTTTATTTTATTTTATTAATGCAAATTATACTATTGGATAATACATTTATATATTCCAAATTTGTTGAGTCAAACAATGCTGACAAATGTGGTAGGTGAACAAAATTCATTTAAAAAAAATCAAGATAAATAACATTCAATCAATTATTTTCAGAAAATTCAATGATTAATGTGAAGTTGGGTGCAAAGAAGAGGGAACTGGTGGCCCAAATTATACCAATGATTAATTCAATTTTTCGCACTTAATCATCACTTAAACCACTTTCTCCATTTCTTTTTGTTTTAAGTTTTTCCTTAGCCATTATCTTTATTTATGACACAATTTATTTCCACATTATAAATAGTAGTTAATTAGCTTATATTTAGATGATAAGCTTATAAGTTGTTAAAATCAACTTATAAGATGTTTAAGAGCTTATAAATTCTTTCAAAGTCTTTGATAATTTTTCAAAAAATCTTTAAATTCAAACATTTCTAAGTTTATCATATTCTAAGTTTATCATCCAGACACTTCAAACATTAATTGTAAAAATAAGACATGACAGTTTATCAGCTCTTAAAATAATTGTAAGTGCTAATTATCATATTTTAAAAATATTTTTTGCCAAACAAGCTCTTATACATTTGAAATAAATGAAATTTTGTTTATATATGAATTGCTATGTTTATTTTGGAGTCCACAAATTCTGGATCAAATAATAATATTATCGGGCCATGAAATGAATTGCGGGCCAATTTGTAAAGCCCAATTATTTGCAATATTGACAACTCTCAACCCGATGTGTAAATGGGCTCAGCCCAATTTCTAGAGTTCGGCCCAAAATAAACTAAAATAAGTCCAGAAATAAATAGGGGTTTATTGCATTCGTCTCCCTTATATCTTCTCTAATTATTAAAAAGCCCCAATGTTAGTTTTATTGCCAAAAACCTCCTTCTGACTCAATCTTTTTTAGTGCACTAACCCCTAAAAATTCACAATTTAGAACACGTGGGTACAAAATACAATAAACTCTAAAACATGGCCCTACTATAAATGAATTTTGCTAATTTTAATATTATGAACATTTTTTTAGTAATTCGATATAGCACAACGATGAAGAATAAAATAAACTGTAATTACATTTATGGAATTAAATTAAGGTTTGAAGTTTCCAGATTCAAAGCAATACCTAACAGTTGACAAAGGTAATATCTGTACTTAATTGGTGGCCGGTGATCATCTTCTAATTAAAAGTAAGCTGAAAATGTGGATTATTTTGTGATTACTTTGCCAAAAATAATTATTTGGTTACTTAAGCTACTTGACAGCGCAAGTAATCTTATCTTACTGGATATTTTAAATTTTTTCTATTCACTAATCAGTGAAATTAGTTTCAAGTACTTTAAGGTAAAAAGGCACTACAAGAATTTGTCTCATCTACTTTTTACTCATGCATGCATGCCCTTTACAGAAAGCTTGACTTTTTCAACTACTACTGCTTTTTTTTTTAGAAGACTTCTGCTTGATTCCCAAGATATGTGTGTGTGTGTGTGTGTGAGAGAGAGAGAGAGAGAGAGAGAGAGAGAGAGAGAGAGAGAGATTGTTTATTCTTTATTCTTAAAGAATCGGACAAACTGGTGGTGAAGAGGTCAATGGAAGCTTATAAGGTGTTAAGAATAGCTTATAACAACTTATAAGTTTTTTCAAAGTGTTTCTAGTATTTTAAAACAATCTATCAGCTGTTCAAAATAAGCTTCTCAAACGAACCCTTATTAAGATTGCTTAATTTTTCTACATTATTTATCAAGGGAACTCAATTAATTCATTGATTTTTGTCAAAACTTCGCAGCAAAAACAGCCTAGCCCCAAGAAAAAATTGAAGGCATTATACACTAAAGTCGCATTTTCATAATTATTTTCATCTACTAGCCGTAGCGCCTTTTGGACTCGTTCCTACAATATATTATCTATGGCGATTTTTTCACACACACACACACACACACACACACATATATATATATATATATATATATATATATATATATATATATATATATATATATATATATATATATATATATTACTCCATTGGATAAACTTCTCAATTTCTCCTATCTAGTCTTTAATTAATTGTCCTCCAAGTGGGATTTATTTTTCTTGACTTCTGCAAAAAATATATATATATAGTCAAGCTTGTTCCCACTGTATATAAAACTTAGTTCCTTCACCCAAGTCATTAATGGCGGCCAACTTGAGTACTACTATTTAATTATGCAAACACTTATTGGACCATTACAAAAAATTACTATAAGTTTTCGTTGGCGTGAAGTTGACAACCTTTTCAATTTTCAAAAATTGACAAGGTTGTTGTCCAATCATAAATTCATTTCCATATTTAATTAATTAATATTTTGTCAATTCTTGCAAGTCACACAATAAATAAATAAAGGTGACAAAGAAAATAAAAAAATAAGCTGTAGCACTGAATATGGTCGGTCTGGCGATGATTTTTTTTTGAAATTTTAATTAAACTGAAGGTCGTAATCAGCTGCATAAAAAGTTTGCTGTACGTGAAAATTGTGTTTTTAAAGTATTTTTTTTCTTTGGTAAGAAAATCTGCATTGATCTTCAGACAAGGACAATTTATCAAATTTGAATACTTGGCCATCTCAATCATTGAACAATTGTCGTATTAAATATATTCAAAATATTGTCAGCAAGACTGAGATCATTAACGTGGTCGATCTGACCAAATTTAATATATTTAACATTAAATATAATAAATTTAAAATTTAAAAAAATTAAAAATTAAAATGAAAAATTAACTTGATCTTTGAATTTTTATTAGTAATAGTATTACGGATTAATTGATGAAATTAATTCTGGATTTCTTGATTTCAATTTACATAATTAAAAAAAATAAAATAAAAGCAGTTAAGACAGAAAGTACTACAACGCATATAAATGAATAATATTTACCAAAAAAATAACAACAATTCAAAAAAATAAAAAATAAAATAAAATAAGGATCCATATTTGTTTTTTCAGTAATCGAAGAGTAGTTTATCTTCAGTCTTGATCTCATCCACAAAGAAGTTGAGGCTATTACTGCTGTTAATATTGGTATTAGTGCTGCTAATCAGCTGCTTAATCTCCTCAATACTATGATCAACTGGATTCTGATCACCAACAAAACACCCATCACTAATATAATTACTACTACCACTAATCATGAATTTAGTATCATCACTAAGTACCCCATTATTGCTTAATAACAAACTCTGCAAAAATCTATTGTAATCAGGCTCCACTAATCCCTTGCCATTACGACAACTAATCTGGTTATTCGTAATGCAGCTCCCATCAGATGAACTGCAGCTGGGCCCACCACTAATCTGATTGTAATTAAGATAGTAATTACCTTGAACATGGCCCACTAATCCATCAGCGTTTGATGCAAAAACGGCGTCGTTTTTATTGTAAAATGGTAATTGGGTGCAATTAATTGATGGATAAGAAGATCCGATCATAAACGAGGAGGAATTGATTGACGGCTGTGATGAAAAGTTGGTAATGATTTGATGATTATGATGCTTCTTTTGATGATGATGATAATTATTGGGAGGTGGTGGTGCCACGCTGGCAATGAGTTTCTTCTTCAGCTTTGTGTTCCAGTAGTTTTTAATATCGTTGTCTGTTCTTCCTGGTAATTGACCTGCTATGATTGACCATCTGCACTTGTTTGTATGTGTAATGAATGTGTGTCATGTGATACTTAATCAATTAATCTAACTGTAATTAATTAATTAATGAATTAATTAAATTAAATTAAATTAAATTACCTGCTTCCAATTGTAGCAAAGAGTGTGCAAATGATTGTATCTTCATCTTCTGAAAATTCGCCATGCTTTATATTTGGTCTGAGATAATTCAGCCATCTCAGCCTGCAACTCTTTCCACATCTTTTCAGCCCTATATATATTTAGGTGAAATTAATTAATTTTATTTTGGAAGAATTAATTAATGATGAAATTAAATAAATAAAATAAAATAAAATAACATACCAATTTTGTGAGGGAGAGCAATCCAATTACCACCAGTGCCATTTTTCTCTATGTAGTTCTTGAGAGTTGCATCTTCTTCAGGTGACCATGGCCCTTTCTTCACCTTTGACTTGTCACAGCATGGTGCTCTTCCCATTTTCTCTCTCTCTCTCTCTCTCTCTCTCTCCTTCCTCTTTCTCTCTCTACACTTTCTCTCTCTTCTGTGAGATTTTCAAAAGTCTTGTTGATGTTTGTTTTGAGGACAATGCTACAACATGTGTGTATGTATGTGTATATATATGTAAAATAATAATTAGTGTCAGAGGTGCACAAGTCAAAGATGGATACAAATTAATAAATATTCCAATTATTTGCATGCAATTATAATCAGTTGTTTAATTTAATTTAATTAATTAATTATCCGCAGTCAGTGATTATTAGCTGAGGCAGCTTTCGAATATTTAATTAATCAATCCCATCACCCAAATTAATTAGCTTCATCCAATTTGGCTGTTTCCTCCCAAGAATCCAAAACACTTGTCTATAAATAAAAATACACACATGCACCTCACTATTCAGATTTAAACAATAGTTGTTCGTTATTGGTAATAATTAGTACTAATTAATTTCCGTTAAAGATTGATTTATCTGTAGGTGGCCAACAATCTAACCAATTAATTATTTATGACAGGATATATGATATATTATCAAGAACTGAGAAACAACATAATCCAAAGGTAGTTGAAAGTTCTGTAACAACTAAAAGGCAGAGCTGTTACAAATGATTAATTACAAGTATCCTTTTGTCAATATTAATTAATTAATTATTCCTCCGAGCAATTAGCTTAATTAATTAAATTAATTATGAATAATATCGCTCCATCTAAGAAGTAAGAACACATGCATCTTTTCATTAACAAATTGGTTTACTGATTATCCACTTCTCGCCTTTTCACCTAATCTTCACTGTAAATATGTTAATAAAATGGTTTACTTTTTTTAATGAAAAAATTAAATCTTTAAATAGTATATATACATTGAAAATATTAATTTGTTGTAAGAAAAATTAACCAGAGAAGCAGTGAATAACATCCAATTAACAAATTAAAACTCCCATAAAATAATACTAAAATCGAGGCAGTAAATACATCTTATCATACTTCAGATCTCAATCATACGTCAGCAAAGAGAGAGAGATAAACATGCTTTGACTTGGCCAATTAATTAAAGTCTGACAGATTTTCAATCTACGACTATTATATTTTGTTTTAATTTAAATAAAATACATATACATAAGTAGCAAAAATATATTGAACACGAGGAACAACCCGAATCTGTGTGTTTCAATTATATTCAGCAGTGTACCACGACGACTCTGTCTCTGTACTTTCAAAGTAGACAAAATCACTGCTGATGCATGCAGATCATTTTTTTGCCTCAACACCCTCTACACACTTTCTGCATGCATATTTTATATTTTATAATATATATATATAATATAATATATATTGTTTGGCTCGTTGGGCCCTACTGGATTATTAATAATCGGCCCATTTAACCATCTCCATATGAAACGGCCCAATAACATTAATCCATAATAACAAGTTGAACTGGGTTACCCTTTTCGGGCCCAAACTATTTGGGCTTTAAGGTAATTAATTGAATATACAATACCCATTCAGATGGACTATGGTTCTTATGATCAAGTGGGTTGATATTAATTTGAAATATATCAATCTCTCGTGATAGGCCCTGGCCCATTCAAATGAAAGACTCATATTGTATGGCCCGGCCCATTTAATTTGTCATCATTCTGCATATAGTGAGCCCGAAAATTATATTTCACCACTTCCACAACAACAGTCATTTTTTAAGACTATTTTAATTTTATATTATATTGTTTATATTTTCTACTCATTAACCCTCTCTTATAAATCATTAACTGATAAATATTATTTTGGTTATTTTTATATGATTTAACTAAAGCCAGGCCAAATATCTTACTACTTGTGCAAATATAAAAAAAAAAACAATTATTTAAAAGTGATAATCACGTATTCACGTGTTTTATATTCCAACTTTCGGGGTCAAATTACAAGGGATCATTAATTTACATTATCAATCTTAAACAAGTGGAGAAAATGATGTTTTCAAACTAGGAAGTAGGGGAAACATGTACTAATGCAATGAAGTATAATGACATCTACCAACCAATTTTGCACATAATATATTAAGAAAATAATATAATAATAAAAATAATTATGACGCACAATTAGAATTCTCAACTCTGAACAAGTACCGATTTTGCGACTACTTACATTATCTATGTTATACATTCAATGAAATTTCCACGAGAGAAAAATGTAGCAATGACCCAAATCGGTTGAATTGAGAATTTTATTTACGTTGACCGCGTTCCAAAAGAGAGATACGGAAGAAGACTTTCACCAAATCACGTACAACTCGCGATGCACGCGGTACAAGCCATCGGCATCCAAATTTCCCTACGGCCGCAGAGGAGTAAAAAACCAATAATCCCGCACCGTCGACCGTCACCGTCAACTGCCAGCTGGCGCCATCACGTAGCGTTCACATCTAAATTGGGATCCACCGAACGGAGTTAATAACGTGGGGCCCGCGTAGGGTTTGTTTTCAATTCCACTGAAAACTAGAGCTAGAGAGAGAGTGGTGGTGATTGGTAGAGAGAGAGAGAGAGAGAGAGAGCGAGTCATCCGGATCCGCTAGTATAAATACTCACAGCCTCCGCTCCAGAAATTCATTCTGCATCTGCGCCTTCCATTTTCTTCCTCCTTTTATTGCATTCCCGAGATCTCTCTTTCCACCAAAAGGTGAGCGCGTTTAACTCAGTTACGTTTGTCATTTTTTAGATCTGTTAATTGCCGCGTTAATTCGTTCTTAGATCTCTATGGCATTTGTTTCTTCTTTGTTTGCTGTATTAATCATCGTTCCTTTTTGTGCATTTTTTGTATTAAATTTGTTGTTTCGAATTCAGTATTGCTGGATTTGGTGAGTTGTTGAACTCGGACCCGGTATTTGTAGAATTGAGTTAACAAAACGTGGTTATAGAATGCTGCAACCAAATTGAACGGTGGTTCTCAGTTGCGGATGTGTGGATCTTCGTTCTCTTGCTCATTGAGATTCAGATCTTGTGTAGCATTTTGTGCCATGAATGAATGTTTTGATTTTCCATTAAGGATCTGTGTTTTCTCGAAGATGTTTGTCGTGCTAGTTTGATATTTAGCATTATAGATCTGTATTAATTATGTCTTCCTTTAGATGTTACTGCTGTTTCTTGTTGATAATTAATGTTCTACAGAATCATTAGAGCGATGTTTTTCCTGTCGGTATGTATCGTTTTTTTCAGATTGTTTATCTGTAATCACTCTTGTTCTATAAACAGAAGACATTGAAAAAATTGGATTGCTGAATAACTTGTTTCCCAGCATGGTATTAAACTAATAATCTGTTGTTGTCTGCTAATATTCGACATTTATGGCTCCCATGCATCTGACCGATTCAACTATATGAAGTCGCTATCCTTTTTCAGTAATTCAATAAATAATTAAAACTAATATAACATTTTAATTGTGTTTCAGATACATTATGGATACCTTCCTATTCACCTCAGAATCTGTCAACGAAGGTCACCCCGACAAGCTCTGCGACCAAGTCTCCGACGCCATTCTCGATGCTTGCCTCGAACAGGACCCAGAGAGCAAAGTAGCATGTGAAACATGCACAAAGACGAACATGGTCATGGTCTTCGGTGAAATCACAACCAAGGCCATAGTCAACTACGAGAAGATCGTACGCGACACATGCAGAGGAATTGGCTTCATCTCTGCAGATGTCGGCCTTGATGCTGACAACTGCAAAGTCCTGGTCAACATCGAGCAACAGAGCCCCGACATTGCACAGGGAGTCCACGGTCATCTCACCAAGAAACCCGAAGATATCGGAGCTGGTGACCAAGGCCATATGTTCGGCTACGCCACCGATGAAACACCAGAGCTGATGCCGCTCACTCATGTGCTTGCCACCAAGCTTGGTGCCAAGCTGACCGAAGTGAGGAAGAACAACACCTGCCCTTGGCTGAGACCAGACGGAAAAACACAAGTCACTGTCGAGTACAAGAATGACAATGGTGCAATGGTCCCGATTAGGGTTCACACTGTCTTGATCTCTACCCAGCATGACGAAACTGTGACAAACGAGAAGATCGCCATCGACTTGAAAGAGCATGTCATCAAGCCTATAATCCCTGCTCAGTACCTTGATGACAAAACTATCTTCCACCTGAACCCATCTGGCAGATTTGTGATTGGTGGCCCACACGGAGATGCTGGTCTGACGGGTAGGAAGATCATTATCGACACCTATGGTGGCTGGGGTGCTCATGGTGGTGGTGCTTTCTCGGGCAAAGATCCGACCAAGGTTGACAGGAGTGGTGCGTACGTTGTTAGGCAGGCGGCAAAGAGTGTGGTGGCTGCCGGACTTGCACGTAGGTGCATTGTGCAGGTTTCGTATGCTATTGGTGTCGCAGAGCCACTTTCTGTTTTTGTTGATACTTACAAGACGGGTACAATTCCCGACAAGGATATTCTTGCTCTTATCAAGGAGAGCTTTGACTTTAGGCCAGGAATGATTGCCATTAACCTTGACTTGAAGAGAGGTGGTAAGTTGAGGTACCAGAAGACTGCTGCTTACGGTCACTTTGGCCGTGAAGACCCGGATTTCACCTGGGAGACTGTTAAGGTTCTCAAGCCTAAAGCTTGAGTTTGTCGTCATACACTGTGATTCTTACCAGGACTTCCATCATAGCGCCGGATTGCTGCTGTTTTGTTTCTGTTGCTATTGAGGAATATAGAGGGAGAGCCTGGAGTATTTGTTTAATATTTCTCTTTATCTTTTTGTTTTTCGTTTCCTTATGTTTTTGTGTTAGTAAAGTTGTATTCAAGTTCAGTACGATTGTCGTCTGGGGGGTCGCTTTCGATTACTCCTAAGTTAGTTTGATGATTTCTGAAATTTAAGAAACCATTTCCACTCGATGTTGATTTATTATGATCACAAGTTTTGAGATTTTATTTACGTTGCTTTTCTAGTCTATGCTCGAGTTATTTATATGTGTTTTGCGGTACGTATTTTGCTTTATGATCAACAGCTTACATTATTAGCATGAAATTTGAGAACAGAGAGACTGAATCCACCTGAGAATTCAGATATGCACTCACAATTGACATAAATTTGAAATAAATTGTCACCAAGGTAAGCTCTAGAAAATTGAAGTGTACGTAAATGATTCGACTTTCAAGAGTGAAGCCAGAGGCGGTCGTGCAGACGGTCTTCTCCGGCACCAAACATCTCGTCAACCCTTTCACCATCTCTGTAGAAGTGAAAAGTGGGCGTATATCGAATGTGTTGAGTCGTTTCCGGACATTCATCAATATCAGCATACACAAAAGAAAGCTTCGGAAACTTGCTGCTTAATCGACTGAAAGAGGGAAGAATCTGACTGCACACACGACACCTAATAACCATAATTAAACAAATCAAATCTCAGATTATCATACATGAAATAATGAATGATTATATACCAATATAATGAAATCGTTTGATTTTTTGTGATAATTTTTTCTCTTGAGCATTTCATCGAACACCTTGCTTACATTATTGACAAATACAGAGGATTTTATTTTAAAACTAAATAGATGAAGAAACGGAATTGAATACATACCAAGATGCACCGTAGTTGATAACTGTCTGCAAAATAGCCCAGAGCAGAAATCAATTCGACATAAACACAATCTCAATGCAATAAAGAGTGGGAAAAAAAAAAAAGTGAAGGGGAATTTGGCTTACAGGATTTTTGGAAGTTCTGATTTGGTGAAAAATTTCCTTGAGATTGTCATCACCGGCGGCAGTGATGACGTCAGCTTTAGAAGTTTTGAGAGAGAGTGGAGCTGTGTTGTAGCTGCTCTCTTCTGTGACTTTCTCAGCTCCGTCGGCCATTTCCGTCTTTGCCCTCCTCTCTTTTTTCTCCAATATTTTAGGTTTAAAAAAAATGAAGAAATAAAACGTCAAAATAATGAAATATCCAATATTGTACTTTGTTCAAAGTGCTGATTTTTTCACAAAATTAACCCACAATCATTACTTCCAAATCCGCCTAAGTCGAGCTTGTCCTATGTGGTTAACCTAATGTAGTTTACGTCTCTCGTATAATTTGCAATCTATTATACGAGAGTGTAAGTTAGTCCAGTGTACATATACGGTTGGTTGTGAATTCATTCGTTACCAGAAAAAAAAATAAAAAAAAATAACCCACTGCAGCAGTGATCGATTTAAATTGAAATTGAAAATAAATGATTTATTTATAAGCTAAAAATGCTTCATTTGAATTGAAAAATACAAATGGACAATGTTGAGTTCGAATCTCTCTCATAGAACAACCTTTAATAAAATTATACAAAATAAAAATAAAGTCAAAAGGTTGAGTTTACATAAGAACCCACTACAATGTCTATAAGAAGAAAAACAGAATATCGAGCGCAGATAAAGAGTTCCGATACAATATATTTGGTTGATATCATCAACTTTTTCGTTACGTCAACGAATGGAAGGGGTTAAATGTTGGACGGAACCAAATATGAGGGTTTTGTTTGTAATTTCCCATATCCAATAAAATGGATTTAGGCCAAACCACAAGGGAGCCTAGTGCAATTTACCCAAACATTTAGTGGTCATTCAGTTTCAGACAATGCCTCTGGATGAAACTTCTTGCATAGTGCTTCTGCAGCAGCTCCTATTCTTGCTTTGTCCTGTAAACAACAAATTCTGCAAAGTCAACCACACTTCTCTTCCCCCCAAAAAAAAAAGAAAGAAACGAATTTCTAAAAAAACGAACATCCTTATTTCTTACATTTCCCTCGAAGGTAATGATAATCGAACCTCCTCTTGATTTGCGATAAGTCCCTTCACATACCAAGGAAATGGGGAAGAAATAAACTATTAACATGGGCTAGAGGAGAGGATGTAGTCATTCATATACACACAAAAAGTCAATTTATGGTCAATAAAAATCTTACCAATGTAGAGATCGGGAAATTGTCGACAAATTTCTGAAAGAGGTTGAGCAATTTCCACCTGCAAGTAATCAATAACAGATGGTTTTCGAAAGTCGAAAAGATAAATAAAACAGATACGGATAATAGATTCAGGGACTTACATCGGGAAGAGTTGTTGCCAGTTTCTTCGAGATTAATGGTTCAGTTGTCAATAAAACCCCATTTGATCTCATCAAGTCAATAAAGCAATCCCACTCATTTTCCAGCTCAGCAACACTAGCTGCCGTAAGAATTATCACATTTTTGCACTTGATCTACGACACACAGTTGAGTATTAAATATTAAGATTCCAGTGATTTTCGAATGATTTTTTTTTATTATTATTATTATAATTATCGTCAACAGTGATGTAACTTACGAGAGGCACACTCAGTTTCTCATGGTGCACCAACTCCGTAATGCCTTCAGGCAACTGAGCCATCTGGAAGGGGAAAATAGATTATATAAATAAAATAACTGGTAAAAAAGAGATATATATCTCATCATAACATGTATTATATTTAACAATTTTAAATGAGTCGATTTCCTATAAATTTATCAAGAAGCATCTTTTTTACAATGAAAATATGGCATGTCATTACCTCATTCCTATCTCCGGTGCACCTTTCGCCTATGAGGTGCCTCAAATATTCTTCAAATTCTTCATCCGGGGCCTTCAAGAAAATAAATTGTACTAAAATAAATTAAATGCAATAACAATGAAACGAAAAGCTAGGTGAAAGAATTTACAAGAGCAGAAAAAGGGACGACGAAACTGCATCCTAGTCTAGCAAGAATATTAGATCAGTAAGTTAATTAGATTCCCTGAAAATTATAGAATCAAATAGTATTGTTCCTGAAGTAGTCGACCTAATAATTCACACGTAAAAGTTAAAACTGACAGAAGTTAATGGTGATAGGCAAGAAGTACCATTCGGACACCAAATGCTTTAGAAACACCAGCTACAGTTACGTCTGAAGGCAATGGACCAACCCCTCCATATATGAAAACCTGCAGTTAAGTTACAATTTACAATGTTTAACTAAAACTTGAAGATATCACACACACACACACACACACACACACACACACACACTCTCTCTCTCTCTCTCTAGATATTTTACCATATCATTAGTAGACTTTCTTCGCTCAACTTCATCTGCAATAGAATCAATCTGGAAAGATGACATTAACGAAGTTATATGTACAACCATACAGTCAACAAAATTTTTGAAAATTAATCTACGTGCACATCAAAATTAAGGTAAGAAAAAAAAAATCACAAAAACTTACATCATTTCTAGCAACAGCAATATGTGAAACGGACCAGCTTATCGAATGGAGTTTTCTGCATAATACGAATCCTATCTGATCCTCAATAGTGCCAGACCTGAGCTATGGTACCAACAGAAAATTCTCAATTAGAAAATGACTCAAATGCAAATACGGATGCAATCATTGTTAACATACTTTTTATTATTACTATTAAACAAAAAAAAAATCAGTAACAAAAAACTTACAGAATTTCATCTCCCACAGCAATAACCGAGGCTGTAAACATACTTTTCGAATGTGAATAATCGTGATTCAAACCATTGCTAACAGCAGATAATGGCTGAGAAGTTAACTTCTTAACTCTCCCTGCTCTTTCAAGTCTTCCATCTGAAAGCATATATGCAGGTTTGTATTTTTCTTCGCTATCGCACAACAGTGCATTGGGAACTGTGTCGTGAATGCTACCAATTGAAGTGTAACTGCAGAAAACTCGATAGGATTACACCACTAAAATAATATCAATACCAAACAACAACAACAAAAAAAATCTATTTGAGATAAACCTTACCCAAAACATTAAGGAAATATATAGAAGAAAACTCAAAATATTCTATCTTAAATAAATCTACAAGAATTTACCCTTGATCGTAAAGACTGCAGTACTGAACCTTGCAAGTTAGGAGAAAGGCCCAAATATCTCTGCCATGTAAACAGTGAAACGTAAGACAATTTGCATTCGTGCAAAAATACAAAAACGATTCTTTGAAAATGCCAAAAAATACAAAAAAGTAACCAACACGTATATTTCTCTTCTCATTCAAGATTGGATACCAGAAAAAGGTAGGGCGTAAATAATTTAGGACAAAAGGGTGACTTGTGATGTTAGAGATTGACCTGTATGACCAATCCAAAATGGGATTCACTCTCATGAAAGGCGGCCACCCGGGCGAGCTAGGTGAGAACTGCTCTTGCCCTACCTAAAAGAATATTACCAATTTTCTCTTAATCTCATTCTTAAATTATGTATATAATTGCATTAAAACATAATGAGTAATAAATTGCATACATACAGCAGTAGGATCTCCAATTCGGACACCAAGAAAAATAGCTCTAATAGGATTAGCTTTTAAAAGAGTTTCCAAGCCAGACTTGAAATCTAAGCGACTGATGTCCATCCACAATTTGTAACTGCCATATTGGAATTAATATATCAATATAATTCTCATGCATAAAAAAAAGAGATGTGGGGGGGGGGGGGGGGGGGGGGGGGAGGGTAGGAAAAAAATCACATACATAGAAGCTGTTTCGTAAGTGAATGAGTTGATTTCATGGAAAGTCGATTTGGTCTCAAAATAAATTGTCCGTATCGGAAATGTTAATTCAGCATCTTCAGTGGACAGATTCTTTCCAGACTTGTGCAAATGATAGCCTGCCCTAAGAAGGTGCAATAAAACCTACAATATAGAATTGTATGTCGTTATATTTGTTTCTTAAATTAATAATGAAGATTTCGTGAAAATGACATGGGAGAAAAGGGTGCGTCTGCGTAAAACAACTTACAGTTGAATCTTTTCCACCATTAAAGCTGAAAGCGACCTCTTCAACACTGTCAACAAAATCATCAAGTATTTAATCTAGTTTTCACCATTGCAGTTAAACGACAAACTATCGGGGAAATTAAATATGCAGGTGCCACTTGGCATCACAGATGAACAGCTCATAACGAACCGAGTAATTATTGAATGTCTTTTATTTCCTAAAGTGCAAGTCAAAGATACTACTCACTCCACTCGTCAAGTTTCGAAATGCTTATATTTCCAAACTCTATCAAAAAAAAAATCATCTTCATAAATGCTTGAAGACATCCCATCTTATCCAATAACGACCTTTTCTTGTCAACAATTTACTAAGATAAATCGTCATCTAAAAACAATTGCTTCTTTAACATTATAAAATTAGGAAATGTGATGGAAAAAACCAAACTGCAACCGACGTATTTATATAATCTCACTGATTCTCAGAACCCAAATCAACGGCACACGAACAATCCTATGACCACTACCGTAACAACTAATAATGGCTAAACCCTAAGTGCTTCTAAAACAAAGCTATACAACAAAATTTCAACGATGAGGATATAAGAGTAAGCGAGGCGTACGAGTAAAGAGCTAGAGCCCTTTGGATGACGTAGATGGCATTGTTGTACTTTGTCTTCAACCTTATATCATCACATTCTCTTATCGCTTTATCGATCTCCATTTTTTTGGCTTATATCAATATCAATCTTCCTGAATGTGAATCAAAACAATAACAAGAATAACAACGATCAATCACCAGATATTTAAACTCGAAAAGCTGGCCAAAGCGTGTCATAACAGAAGTCTGAAATTTTCAATTAAAGGAGTATTCATTCAAATTCAAGCAAATCAAAATTACCAGACCAAACATAAGATAGATGCGAATTCCTGCGATTACTTGCAAAATCACATTTCCAACAACAAAAATTCACTTGCCTTTAATGTAGAAAAAAAAAATTAACAAAAAACGCACAGACAACGAACTCAACAATTACCATGTGCAATTAATTAACAAAAAAAAAAAAAAAAGTCACCATTGATGGGTTTAATACTTTAATTTAACAATGGAATTTCCACCTTGTGCTGAAACGAGAATTAAATGAAGAACACGGGTAACGATAAACGAGAGAAGATTCAACTTCTGATACGAAAGAGGAAATTTGGTTCTGATGTGATTCAGGGATGGAATATTACCTCGTCTGAAGACTCTTCTGAGAAGTAAGAAAGTTTACAGATGTATATAAAGAAAAACCCCTTTTTCAATGTAGACTGCTTTTTTATGAATTTCTCTTTCCTTGGAAAATATTTGGGTGCTCGAATAAATTAATATTTATGAAGGAATTCTTTTTAATTTTTAATGTTTAAATAAATCAAATTTAGAGAATCGAAAATATTAAAAATAAATTTAGTGTTATTAAATTAGTTATTTCAATTTCAAGTTTTTATTTGGAAGCATCCAAACATGGCATAAGAAAATAATAATACATAAACAAGCGAAGATGTTATTAGTTCATGATTTTGTTTGGAAGTAATTCTTAGGTTTTTATTATTATCTTACATTTCGAGAGAAAAAAAATGTAATTATTTACGTTTCGAATTGCTTTTTACCTCTTGAATTATTACAAATAAGTAAATTATGGCGTTTAAGATATATTAAACGAGTCTTACAAGAAATGATCTAACGGTTATAGCAAGTTAGTATCAATTAACATAAATTTGAATTTCTTTGTCAACGGTCGCTAGATCGAGCTTGTTATAAACAATGATCAACCTAGTATTATTATGATCAACCTAGTATTGTTGACGTATGAATATACAATTTTCAATATACCAATTTAAAGTAAGTCTGAAGGAAAAAGGAGTAGTTTATTGACTTCTCCCACAGGAAAAGCCAAACAAGAAAATTCTTGGGAGAAACAAGAGAACAAATTAAAGTAGCTCACCACATTATGGTGAGTTGACCTTTGACCTATATGACAAAGTCAACAATTAAAATCTTAGGACTTGGAAAACTTAATGCAACACCACTCTGAAATTAGCCTCAGAATGATAACAAAGTTCATACATATACAATTTTGAGATGAGATTTTTAAGATATGATTAGCGAATCGACACTGGCTTCGATACTGTAATAATACACGTAAAAAAAATTACAAACACAACACAAAAATTACAATCCCCGTTTTGCATCGCAGCTCGACATCAGGGTTTGTTGTCTAGTCTTTACAAAATTTCTTCCCACACTTCAGCCAAAAACTCAACCATCATCTGTGTGTATGGAGAAAAAAGTTTCGATGATGCAATTTAGGAAGTAAATATCGGGGAAATTTATTCACAGAAACTTACAGCTAAAGGAACCGGTTCTTCAAAAGGCTCTTTCGATGAAAGTAAATCCTTGCAAGAGGTACTATATCTGCAAGAAAATAATTATAAATACGAGATCTCCCAAATATGTATTAACAGAAAACGTGTTGAGTAATTTGAAATTGATACGAGGAAGAAAAGGAAATGCCTCGTAATTGGCTCGGTGGGCTTTCTTTGAGATGCAACAGATCGATTGCCTCTCCAAGCTCTTCTCATTTCATGCCAGGCTACTGCTGCTGCAAATTTGGCCAACAAATAACTATTTAAAAAATTTAAGACAGAATGCTAAAAATAGAAAGAAAAAAAAAAAAGTAACCACCGACTTTAAGGTATAAAGAATGAACCCATTGTTTAGTATTGAAATTTCCCACTATTTTTGTCCAATCAAGTACAGCACAAACAATAAAACACACCCTAATAAGTGATTAACATAGAAAAGGCAAAATACGAAGTTATTGTGATAGTCGGCTAAACGTATATATACAGATATCGCACCATCTTGACAAACATGAAGTTTTTAGAGAAAAAAAGGTTGCAAAGGAACCAACCATAGTTGACGAAAAGAGTATTGTAATCATCTTGAAGAGAAGGCATCTTTTCTAATGAGTCGTAACTGATTCCATCAACATCCATCCCCCTTGCACTGGCTTTCAAGACTGTACTGAACAGTCACCGATTAAAACTGAAAACAGGATCCACAACTAAGACGATATTCAAGCGTATTTACTATCACAAGAAACAAGTAAAATCATAAACATTAAAGAGCAACATGAGAGACTAAAAATATGTTTGCATTATTAAAATAAACGATACAACTAGTTTGCATTAAAAATGTGTCGAGCTTTTGCTGACCATAAAGAACGATTAGAAGCATGTTAACCAACAACAATGTTGAATTGTTGATAAGTAATTCAAGAGACGAACATAGTTATCCAAAATATGCAGGAATGTGCGAACGCGAAAATGTTAACCAAAAATTATAGCATTCCGAGCCTTGATTGATTGTTTTACCCATATTACTTGTTCCTAGTATATTACACGAGATAATGTTCGTAGTCGAAATTTATTAATGGACTGTGCTTTATCGGAATCCCTCATAAACAATAGCAGTGAGTTTCTACAACAAAAAGACCACCAGTATAGCTTCTGCAATCAATTAACCCAAATCCCCAAATTAATCATAAATCATGAAAATAATAACAATGTCAACTAACGAAATTCAGAAGTTAGATTTCATTCCAGTTCATCACCATTGAAGCCTACCAGCTCCAAATATAACTAGACTGTACTATTGGGACTAGAATTGGCAAATTAATCCAGAATAACATTATTAAAAAAAAAAAAAATTAAGTTCAATTACAGAAGAAAATAAGTTTGGTCGATAGTATCAGCTACAGTTTGAACATGGAACCGTACGAACCTTGCATTCGACTATCAATGGCGATTCTGGAAATTCGGAAAGTAGAGTTGGATGTGGGTTAATTTTAGGCTGATATGTTTGCCAGTGGCGGAGCAAATAATTTGGGGGAGAATTTTTGAGTAATTGGGGGAGAATTTATTCGTGAGTATAAACACTATTTATTTTCATAAAATATTTGTAATTGTGAATATATAATGAGCCTAAAGCTAAAAAAATTGAGCCCGTATTTGTGTAACCCCTATTTCAAATATGGGCCCAATTTAGGAAGTTTAATTTGTTTGTGGCCTTCGGGCCTCAATTAAACTAATCCCTAATCATCATTAGAAACTGAATTAATTATTAATCACTTTAAATATTCCCCCTATATTTTAGAGATTTAGCTTTAATTAACTATAAAATATGTTATAAATATTTAATTTCTACAAGTAATCGCAATTCCGACCTTAGCTCAGTTGGTAGAGCGGAGGACTGTAGTGGGTGCTGCCCGATTGTTATCCTTAGGTCGCTGGTTCGAATCCGGCAGGTCGGAATCTTTTCTTTTAATTTATTTTTTGCATATAAGTAGTTTTTATTTACTTTAAAATTCATAAATTGCCCCAATTATTTTTTTACATGTCGGCCCAAAACCAAAAAATGGTCTATCATTAATTTAATAATTTATGGAGTAATTTATACAGGGTCAAATATTAATTAAACATTAACACGTCTCATAATAAAATAAAAAATAAAGGAGAGTATTAACAAGGCCCAATTCTCATCCAAGTTCATTCTCGGGCTATCTTCAATTAATCCAAAGTCAAGCATTGACCAACAATTAAATAAAGCCCAATTTCTCAGCCTAATCTATTTCTATTATTTATACATGAAAACGAGAGTAAAGTGAAATTGACAAAATCCGGAGCAATCCAGCAAAGGAGATACAGAGATGGCTGGTCGGAGCATCACATACATCACCGGCTCTCAGCTTCTCTCTCTCAAATCCCGCCCTAATATTGCCATCGTCGACGTCAGGTGTATTAATCACGCTTTCTTCTTCGTTTAACATTTGACGAGAGGTTTTATTATTTTATACTGTAAAATATTTGACGAGAATTTGACGTTTTTTTGTTTTTGTTTGGGTAGGGATGATGAACGGAGCTCCGATGGACACATAGCCGGATCTCTCCACGTTTCTAGCGATAATTTCGTTGACAAATTGCCCAGCCTGGTTGAAGCTACCAAAGGCAAGGATACTCTCGTTTTCCACTGCGCTCTCAGCCAGGTTTTTTTTTTTTTTTTTTTTTTTTTTTCTTTTTCCTTCTCCTTTTTACCATTATTATTACTAAAATAATACTTGTACTCATTTATTCAAACTCGCAGCTTGTAATTTATAATTGTTGATTTGAGTTTTTACTTGATTATTTTGGTGTCTCAGCAATTATTTCCCCCTTTTAAATTTGTCACAGTTGTAGGCCTGTAATTGTGGTCAAAATTGAATAGGATCTGTTGTTCTAAGTTAGGTTAAATCATATGTCTAGCTGCTGGAAGAACTGGAAATTGCCGCCCCACACAGTCATTCTCAGTTGCCTATTTTAGGTTATAGAACTTGAAATTTTGTTTGGGATCTAATTTTCCTTAATAATCTCAGACTTTTTAGTAAGAAGCAATCCATTTCCAAGACAGATGTTCGTCTCTTATCTAGTCGTGTGTGTTGTTTCCGTAGACCATAATTGAATTAACATATCCTTATGTTGCTTATCCAACATTCTAGAATTTTTTTTTCACCTCTTAGCAACTTTGAATCCGTATATTATCTCTTTGTAAAACCAATTAATTTTATCGTTATCTAAATACGATGATGCGTATATATTGAGTATTCATTATCATTCCTCAGCCCACAAGCTTTATTGCTCTTCTCGGTACATTAATAAGCTAGATCGTAGGTTGGAATTTCGTCAAAGAAGGTGAGTCAACCGAGCGAAACTAAAGTATTATCTTACTTGGTTGGATCATTCAATGACCCAAACAAATTACGCTTACTAATATTTGACGAAGCTGAATCATGAAAGAATTGCTCATTAATCATTTTTTTCTGGTTGCATGCCATTTAGTCTAGGTTATTTTTCTCTCAATAAGTGTAGTTGCCACGAATTACGACATTGTTATTGTTTATTTTAGAACTGGGAACGAAATGCATGCAAATTGTAATGGAATGTTAGAATTAGGTTTGGAAGAGGTTACATGAACTGATCATACTACTTATTACAAGCACCAAAACATGACATTCGACTAAGTTAGCGTACGACAAGCCTGAAAGACGGGTTACAGTGCTTAGAATTATGACCATATATCTTCTTAGAATTAGAAGGGAAGAAAATATCAAACATATAGAATTATGAACATATATCTACCTTGTTTCTGTCTGCAAAGAGAGAATTGACTGGCAAATGATACTATCACAGGTTCGTGGACCCAAATGTGCTCGAAAGTTTGCCGATTATCTTGCTGATGCGGATATTGGGGATGTGAAGAATATAATGGTCTTGGAACGAGGCTACAATGGCTGGGAATCTTCCGGAAGGCCTGTTTGCCGCTGCAAAGAGGTGCCCTGCAAGGCTGACCATAGCTGATGAATGTACCACTGCAAGAAAGCAAATGCTGCTAATATATAATATTTTGTTTGAATAATGAATGATGTATACTCCATTTATGGAAGATTTGTATTCTTCTGTGAGGAACACGAAACGATCATTACTTACACACACGTATTTCTCGTAACTTGGTGTGCTTCTTGTTCTATGTAACCGTGTGGAACTTGGTTCTTAATGAACCCCAAAGTTTGTCGATTTGTTAAATTTGTGAACAATCCTTTTGTTAGGCTTGAACAGGGTCAGTTCAGACAGCAAGCCGTGCGCATGCGGCTGCATAGGGGCCCCTAACTAAAGGGGGCCCAATTCATTCCTTCTGCACTCCTATATATAATATGTATTGTCCATGTTTCATAATTAACCATGGTAAAACAAGTGAACTCACCCATTTCATCTATTTTAATTTTTTTTTTTAGTTTTTATAATTTAAAAAAAAAACATAGAAAAACAGAAAAAAGGAAACAAAAATGCAATCAGTCAACTAAACTACAAATTTAAGAAAATTTACTATAATTTGGGGTAAAACCAAGATGCGAATTACTCCTCCACATTCCCTTGTATGGGCTTCGCGCAATCAAAACCAATTTCCACCTCAAGATTTCGTATGAATTCACGGGATTACAAACTAGGATTTACGGATTGAGAGACAAATATGATGGGAAATTTGGGATGACGTTTGTTAGAGCTCACGGGATTGAGAAAATTATGAAAGTTTTCAGAATCTAAGTTTGCTAGGGTTTACGGGATTGAGAGTGAAATAAAAATTGGAAATTTGGGTTAGTTATGAAGAGGGAAGAATGTGAGATGGATTGTGGTATGGTCCAATTTGACATCTAATAGCCAAATGGACGTCACATGCGACACACATGAAAATTCCGTCCTACTTAACCTGGAGACTTTGAGGATCGATAAAAAAAAAAGACAAAAAATAGTTTATTTGGGGACCAATTTCATGAATTCGATAGTTTGGGGACCAAAATAGTCTTAATAGTAAAGTATAGGGGCAAAAATATAATTATCCCACCGTAACTCCGCAAGTAACATACATCCGAACGGAAATTACCAAGCCTTGTTGAAAAGGATCCACTTAAGACTCGCTCCCGAGTTAACAACACGCATCATTCGTCTTCCCCCAATCCAATCTGACCTTGCAAAAGCGAAAATGGTAGTTCATGATTTTGCAGGCATCTCCTTCGATCTAATCCTTATAATTTGTTGCTTGCTTTAATTTATTTCTGTAATTCGCAGGTTTGCTTGGCTTGTTTGTTGCCGCTGTTTCTCGTCCCAATCGTCAATTTGTTGCCCGTCCTCTTCGATATCATCATGGTTTGTAGAAATTCTCATCGATCATCGTTTCTGCGTGATGTGTTTATATATTTGTAATTAGGTTTTCGAGGATTCGTAATCTTCTATTGATTGATTTTCTTAGATTAAAAATTAAAATAAAAATATATATTTAGGGGAAGGTGTACAGATTGTTTGGATGGGAATATCGGAAGCCGGTGCGAGCACCTCCCGCTTGTCCTATGAAACCATCCGCCTCCAAAACCGGCACCGCCGATTCAGTAAGTCAACTATTTTTTACCTGCAGATTTTTGAATTATTTTTGTTAGGGTTAGATATGTATTTAGATTTAGGGAATGGAATCGGAAAATTGTCGAGAGATATTTCACGGTCTCGAATCGAGATAGTCTATATGCTTAATGTATTTACATTTTCCAAAACAATAATGTGTTTCTGCGAAGCAGAAAGTTTCGAATTGGCTTATCAAAACATTGGTAGTGTCTGCTGTTTCTTAAGAATGATGCACATAAATCAAACACACAATTTAGGCGGTGCTTGAATTCGTAATAGATTAGTCGAAACGTTTGTTGTTCTGTTTTAAGTTTTAACAAATGAATAAATGCACGCAGTTTCTGATTTTGTTTCTTTAATACAACTCCGTAACCAAATTTGTCAGAATTCTTTAGAGCTAAAAGCATATAGGTAATATTGGCATCACCATAACTTTAGATGCACGCTCGTGCATTCCATTTTTTCATGTTCATTGCACTTTTAATTCTCATCTTTTGGGCTTTGAAATCTTCTTTACTTGAAGGTGATTACATCAATTAACCCCTTCAGTATAGATGCCAAAACACATGATTAAATTTAGATTAAGTCGAATTCTTCAGTTTCACCTAATCTTGGAAAATGTTTATTAAATTCGGAAAATCGGTGTATCAAAAAGGTTGCAGGTATACAGAACCATGGTGCCCCAGATCCATCACTAAAGTCGGTTGGAGAAGATGACGATAAGCTAGACTAAACTGCACCAAATTTGGTATAGTCATTTTCATTTAATCTCTGTTTAAAACTGGTAAAACTGAAAATAATAGATTCTGGTGAGGGTAAAGGTATGGATTATAAATTTATAGTCTATATTTATTGTATCATAAAACAAACTATCTGTCGGTTACAAGACAGCCTTGTCTCATTACTGTTGTGAGTATCTAGTTGTGTTCGATTTCATATCCTAAGACCTCAATCTATATGAGAGCTATCTTTTTTATCGAGAATCTTAAGACCCTTCTTCTGAGTTCATTAACTGCTTCCGAACATTACCATATTTGCTTTTTGGTCATTCTTATGATACTGCCTGTCTAAATTCATTTAGAAAACACAAGTTTCGGTCTCATTCCAATTTTACACGTGACGGAAACCAGGCAAAGTTCATGTTTTTCTCATCATGTAGTTATTGATTTTTATTTTTTTTAGCTGCTGCTACCTTTTCGGTTATTTCTATGCTACGCCCGGTGAAGGTTACACCGAGTGTTTTTCTACCGTTGATCTACACACACCAATGTGTGTGCGTGTGTTTGTGTATATATGAATAGTCATGATCTATCCGGTGTAGTTCACCGGATGTAGCATAGTATAAACCTTCCCTTTCTCGTATTCTTATTTTCAGGTATTTATTAATTATGTCCAACATATCTTTTAAGCAGTTAAAGTTTTAGCCCACTATTTATTATGTAAGCCCAAAAGGGCCCATAGTTTACAAACTCAAATTATCAGATTTGAATAATTCTAGTCCATAAATCAATTGAAGAAGCTGAATTATGTTGCTATCCAGCCCTAAATAAATATCAAAATGAGATTTCTATTCCAATGTTTTTTTTTGGAATTAGTGAATGTACCAAAGATTGAGTTGGTTTTAGGTTAATATTAATATGATTTATTAGTCTCTATCGACTCCCAACTTGTCTGGTTGTGCCAGCTGATAACGATAGCCCTCCAATAAACTTGTGATTGACTCTAATCAAGTTTAACTTTCTAATTAACGCTATTTAACAATTTAATAATATTTTTTTAATTCATTTTTATATGTTTTATGAATGGGACAAGTTTGGTTCAAGTGGGTGCTTATCATTTTCACTAAATCTTGGCTATGGGATATTTATCTTAGGTGGTCCTGATTCGTAAATGTCTTCCTAAAAAAAATCTAATTTCTGGTTCATTAGGCAAAATTTGACTAGTTTGGAATTCCTTATATTAATTACTACAATTAGCTTTTAATTAATTAAGGCAATTAAATTAAATATAGAAAAATACATGCAGAGCAGTTATTTATTGAAAATATTATGATGGGGGAAGGTGGGTATAATTTCTGCAAAAAGAAAAAAAGAAATGGTTTTAGTCAAGACAAGCGCGCGAGCCACGTGGGGGTAGTATCCAGAAAATAAGACACGTGATGGCGGCTGAGCGACGAGTTACGACTCGTGAGTGAGGAGACTAGCGAGTGTAATTTATCACGGTTGTCATGTCACGAGGTGGCGCAATCATCAAGAAATAGACAAATGAAACGCCACACCAGACCACACCACCTCGTCCGCCAAACTCCACCTTAAACCCCTGATTTTTCTTGCATTTTTCGCCAAACAAAAGTGAAAAGATATACCGGCTTTGTGTGTGTGTGTGTGTGTGTAAAAATATACTAGCTGGGTTTTCTAATTAATTACCAGTATTTCACTTTCAAAACAAGTGTTGGTCACTGCAGATTGAAAACCACCCCTTTTCCCCACTCCCTCTCTTGCTTACACATAAATGGCAAAGATAAATGTTGATAACAACGCCAAAGATTTCTGCTTTTAAAGAGATAGATAGATAGATAGATAGATAGCGAGAGAGAGAGAGAGAGAGAGAGAGAGAGAGAGAGAGAGAGAGAGAGAGAGAGAGAGAGAGAGAGAGAGAGAGAGAGAGAGAGAGAGATCCCAATTCATATTTGTTATAAAGCCACTCAATTTCTGCATATGTCGCCCAAAGTTTCAATTTTTATTTTTGGAAAGTGAAAGAAACACACACACACGCACACACACAATTTTTTGGTCTAAAATTGAAGGAAAAAAAGAAGTGGGAGAAGAGATGGGTATACTGTACGATGATGCAGTGTTAATCAGACAGTCAGAGGAAGAAGGGGAACCTAGTGTAATCACTGTTAATTGTCCAGACAAAACTGGTTTGGGCTGCGATCTTTGCCGCATAATCCTCTTCTTTGGACTCACCGTTGTCCGAATTGGTATGTATGTTTGCATTTTGATCCTTACAAGAATTAACTTATTTTTTTATTCACAAAAAAAAATTGTTTCTTGATAATAATTTAACTTGTATTTGAAGATGTGTCTACTGATGGGAAATGGTGCTACATAGTGTTGTGGGTGTTGGGGAAACCTAGTACGAGGTGGAGTTTGTTGAAGAAGAGACTCATGGGGGCATGTCCGTCATTTCTACTGGCTTGTGGGATTTCATTTGACAGGGCTGATTTACAACCCCCCAAACCCCCTGATGTTTTCCTATTGAAGTTCTGTTGTAATGACCGAAATGGCCTTTTGCATGGTAATTATACTTTATTTGCTGCACCCTCTGTCATATTTAAGGTTATTATTAAGATCTTGCAAAATAAAATGGGGGAGAAAAAAGAATCATAATTTATATTTTGTGTGTGTGTGTGTGTGTGTGTTTCGGCAGATGTAACGGGGGTTCTTTGCGAGCTCGAGCTTACGATAAAGAGAGTAAAAGTGTCGACAACTCCAGATGGCAAAGTCATGGACCTCTTCTTCATAACAGACACGAGGTTCTTATCGTTTTTTTTTTTGGGTAGAAAATAACAATTGTTGAATTATCCGAATTAACGTTGATAACTATTTATGTTGATTGCATGAGTGTATATAAATTCATTTCACAGCGAATTTTAAATATGTCAATATACTTTCGACACAATACCAGGGAACTTCTTCACACAGAGCAGAGAAAAGAGGACACGGTCGACCATTTAAAAGATGTAATCGGTGATTCCACAATCACTTGTGACATACAAATGGTGGGTCCCGAAATCGCATCATGTTCGTTAGTACCATCGTTTCATTCAGACAACACCGAAGGAATATTCGATATAGAGATGCTCGAGAAAAACGGAGAAGATTCTATCGTAGCCTTTAAACGACCATCAATCACAATGGACAACTTGTTGAGCCCTTCTCACACGCTCGTCCAAATCGTTTGCCGGGACCACAAAGGTCTACTTTACGACGTCATGCGAACTCTCAAGGATTACAATATCCAGGTTAATTAATTAATTGATTAATTACTTTTTCTCTCAAGAGTTTTGATGATTTAACCTTTAATCTAATGTTCGGAAAGAAATAGCAGATTTCGTACGGGAGATTCACGGCGAAAGGTAAAACAGAGTGTGAGCTGGACTTGTTTATAATGGAGGCAAATGGTGAGAAGATAGTGGACCCCACGAAACAGAATTCGTTGAAGTCTCGTTTAGAGGTGGAATTGAGTCGTCCAATCAGAGTGTCGTTGATAAGCCGCGGGCCCGACACTGAACTGATAGTTGCGAATCCGGTAGAGTTAGCTGGCAAGGGGCGTCCGATGGTCTTTTACGATATTACATTGGCTCTCAAGAAGCTAAATAGATCGATCTTTTCGGTATGTCTTCGTGTGCAATTCTCACATGGCCACATTTTTTCGGTTTTATTTTTACGAAAAAAATATGATGTGGCAACATTTTACAGGCTGAAATCGGGATATATGGGATCGGTGAGCGTGAGTGGGAGGTTTATAGAGTGTTGCTCGACGAAGGAGACGGGAGTTTTGTATCGAAGAAGGAGATAGAAGAGACTGTTTGGAAGATGTTGATGACTTGGGAGTAATAACTAGTGATGCTGCTGTATGTATAGATGTATCTATAGTTCAGTTCTTTTATAAGCTTGCTACAAGATGTACATATTTTATATATACTGTTATATATAAGTCTGTGTATATATGAAAAAAAGCTTATTTTCTGTCCAAAAAACAAGAAAAGCTTATTTATTGAGCTTTCTTTTGTTTTTATTGGTACAAGTCTCGGCCTGCTAATATGGTGGAAGGTATATGGGCCTAAGTAAATGTAAACTTATTGAATGGGATGTGGGCCTAAGTAAAACCAGATCCTTAAGAATCAAGCAGCCCAATTTCGGAATCAGCCCAATAGATAATTTAAGCCTAGTTAGGTGGTTTGACTGATCTTGACTGTTTATTTTAACCAGTCAGATCCGTCTCGTGCTTTATAAGCTAATTCCTGATATACTAATTCATTTTTCTCTTTCTACGTTTCTCTTTCTCTCTCTCCTCTCTTATGTTGTACCATGTTGCTCTATCCATGTCTTTTTTCATTGACTTTCTTCAACAGTCTTCGTCGTACATACAGAGCATTAGTTCGGAGACACTTTGATGGCTCCTACTTCTGGTTTGTGTGTTTTAAATACACCATCTGATTAGATTGAGAGGTTAATACATTGTTCACTGTTGGATTTTGGCCCAAATATGTTCTGGGCCATAAAGCCCAATTGCCATTATATATACACCACCATGAGTTGAGCCCAAGTTAGTTTAAGTGAGCCCAGCCCATTTAGTAGCCAGATCCATCCGTTGGATCTCAGGCTTAATCTGGACCGTTCATCACCTCACTTAAATAGCTCTTTCTCTCTCTTCGTTTCACTCATTCTGAAACCCTAATTTCTCCCTCTCTTCTCCGCCGCTACTGCTTCTGTCTTCTTCCTCCCTTGTACTGCCTGACTGAGTTATGGCTGGAGGTCAAAGTGCACGGTACAGTGCTGACTTTGACCCTCCGGTACAGCCTTCACCGGCTCTCTTTGACTTCAGTCCCTATATATGTTGGCATGGAGGCTGGAAGAGGGTAAGACAGAGAAAACCCTAGTCAGACCTAAATCCCTTCGTTTTTCTTCTTTGTGAGTTCAGAAATTGGGGTTTTGGTGAGTGGGTTAGCTTGAGTGCTTGATCTGTTCTTCCTTCGTGGTTTTCTGGGTATTTTAGGGTTTGAGTGTGTTTGAGAGAAAGGAGATCTGTTCTCCTTGAGGTACTCTGGTGGTGTATATTTGGAAGTGTGAATCTCTGGTGTGAAATTGGAAGACTGAGCTGAAATCTCAATCTATTTGATTTTCCAATCTGTTTCATACCTTGTATTTCTTTCTTCCTTTTATATTTTCATACCTATATATATCTATTCTCCTTGGCAGTCATTAATACTGCAAAAGGGGAATTCATATATTATTTACAGTAGGTTGAAAATGGAGCTTGGCGATTTGATACCCTACATTCACTCTTCTTCTTCTTTATCTTCTATTATCCTAAGTGGATGGAGCGTAAGTGAGGGTTACTCGATGAGAAAAAAGAGTATGCATGAGTGTGTTGTTCTCTAAGTGAGTAATATCTCTGTTGAGTGACTATGAGTCGACTCAGAGATTGAGAACCTAGGGTAGACCTAAGGTTTCTGTTTGGACTTTGTGGCTGATACTAATTTGATGTCGCAGCCAAGGTGAATTTCTAGACGTGAACTTGGACAAATGGTAACTGAGCCTAACTGAAAAAACGGCTCCATGCGTTGGAGCCAATCTGGTGATATCCTAGCTTAGCTTTCTGTTCTCCTTTTCTTTATTCGTCCAAGTGTAATTACTTCCGTTACTATATTGCATTTAATGATTAAATATTTGAAAATTTAAAAAAACCATGACAATATTTAATGACGGACTGAATTTTATTTTTCTTTTTTTCTTTTTCCCAACAAATTTAAAAAATGCCGAATTTCCAATCATTTGTTTTTTTCTATTTTCCCTATTTTTAAATCCCCACTTTCGCTACACTTTCTAAATAAAAATATACGTGGGTATTATATCTATCTATATCTGCACCACCATACGGCTCTGTCGCGCCATTCTTTTTTTTTTCTCCTTCGATCGCCGGAATATTCCCATCTCCGGCGATCCATGAACGCTCCCCTATCTCGTTACCGCCGTTCCATACATTTCTTTCCATTGCTATCGTACATTACGTAGCTATTCTCCGTTCCTCTCACACAATGGTTCCGTAATTTCCCAATCCCTGTTGATCTCTCTCTCGCATTAAGATTCAATTGTAATTTGTAAACCTAATTTTATACACATATAATGGATACGTGCATTTAGGCGGAGATGTTCAACAAGATAATTAAGCGAAGCCACCGCAAGGTGGCCAAATCCGATGTCGATTTGGCCTACGCCGCCCCCGGCCGGAGCTCCGGCTCCGTCTCCACCTCAAAAATCACCGTCAGCCACTCCTCTCGCGGCGTTCCGCCCCCGAATCTATGTCAACAACAGCAAATAACCTCCGCCGCGGTGGCGCCGGCGCCGGAGCGGCCGCCGCTGGGCACCATCGAGAACCTTCCGATGTTCAGAGATGTTTTAGTTTTGGAGCGCCAGAGCTTATTCATCCGCAAGCTTAAGATTTGTTGCTACCAATTCGATTTCTTCGATACCCTAAAAATGGTGAGGGAAAAGGAGATTAAGAGGCAGACTCTGGTCGAGCTCGTCGATTTCATCCAATCCGGTTCGGGCAAAATCACGGAATCGAATCAAGAGGAAATGGTGAACATGATTTCTCTGAATATATTCCGATGCTTGCCCCCTTCCTCCCATGAAAACACAGGCTCCGAAAACACCGACCCGGAAGAGGAAGATCCATATCTCGAGCCCTCATGGCCGCATTTACAGCTCGCGTACGAGCTCCTCTTGCGTTACGTGGTCTCATCCGACACCGACACCAAAATCGCCAAGCGCTACATCGATCATTGCTTCGTTTTGAGGTTGCTCGATTTGTTCGATTCCGAAGATCCAAGAGAAAGGGAGTATTTGAAAACAATCCTCCACCGAATATACGGAAAATTCATGGTGCACAGGCCATTCATCAGAAAGGCCATAAACAACATCTTCTACAGGTTCATATACGAGACCGGTCGCCATAACGGGATCGGAGAGCTTCTGGAGATATTAGGAAGTATAATTAATGGCTTTGCTCTGCCTATGAAGGAGGAACATAAGTTGTTTCTTGTCCGCGCTTTGATACCGCTCCACAAACCTAAGCCTGTGGCTATGTACCACCAGCAGTTGTCTTATTGCATTACGCAGTTTGTCGAGAAGGATTACAAATTGGCCGATACAGTTATTATGGGATTGTTGAAGTATTGGCCGGTTATTAATTCGCAGAAGGAGGTTCTGTTTCTTGGCGAGCTTGAAGAAGTGTTGGAGGGTACTCAGGCAGTTGAGTTTCAGCATTGCATCGTTCCGCTTTTCGGGCAGATTGCTCGTTCCCTTAACAGCTCCCATTTTCAGGTTTGGGAATTTCTTCGAGATCTACTTCTTACTATGTTTTTTTTACCAACTGTTGATGCTTTATTTGATACAGTTAAGTATTATGCATAGTGTTTAATGAGGTGCGATGGATGTTTTACAGGTTGCCGAGCGAGCTTTATTTCTGTGGAACAACGAACATATCGTGAACCTGATTGCCCAGAATCGGAATGTTATTTTGCCGATGATTTTCGATGCGTTGGAAAAGAATATTCAGTCCCACTGGAACCAAGCAGTGCATGGCTTGAGTCTTAATGTCCGGAAATTGTTTATGGATATGGATGCCGAGCTGTACGAAGATTGCCGAAGGCAATACGCAGAGAGGGAGGCTAAATCCACAGAGTTTGAAGAAAAACGAAAACTGATATGGCAAAAATTAGCTGAAGTTGCTGCTCTAGAACGATAAACGGTTTCATTGCCCATCTTGCCTTCTGCGTTATTCGTACATTTTTGGTTTTTGCTTTCCTTTTAATTTTGACCAAATCATTTATACGACTGGAAATGCAATCCGCGATGCAATGTAGAAATGTATTAATATTTTTTCTTAAATGTGATGCAGATTAAGGTTGGTACTTGGTACTTTTTCCAATTTAAAATACTACGAAATTAAGTAAAAATCGAACGACGCAACGGCTGCCGATATAAATTGACTAGTGAATTGCAATAAGGTAAGCATATACCCCCATCCATTTTACATTTGAACACTCAAATTGTGGTGCAAAGTAAGCAGCAAAAAGATTATCAAGGTTGTGATAAAAGTTTGGAGAATGGAGTGATTAGAGTGAAGCCTGTGGCTGCCTGAATATTCATCGTAATCCTCGAACATGTCTGAATTTTCATCCAAATCACCACCAGATTCTGATGTCCACTTTCCCAGATTGTTGCCCCTGCTCATACAATAACATTGAATTATCAAACTGTTTACTGTTAACACGAGAGAGAGAGAGAGAGAGAGAGAGAGAGAGAGAGAGTACCTGCTGACAAGGACACCGGCGTTGAGGGTAAGTTGGTCAATATACGCAGCCGATTTAGGCTCTGTACTGTAAGCCTTTTCATACTTGACCTCCACACCTTCTCCAGAGGCAACAAAGTAGGCTCCATTCACCAATACATCCCCTTCACTTCTCCAGTTCCAATCCCTCCAATTCCCCTCCGACGACCCCACACGCTTCGTCACCTGTCCAAAAAGAAAAAAACACTCGTCACCACTAATCATCCCATATATTTCAAAAGATAATCAAGAATCAAAATAAACGCCACGTCAGTTAATTACCTCCTTGGCATTGCGATCGAAGGGCGCGATATACCGATTCCCCTGGCTATTAATGGTGGGATTCCCACTCCCACCAATCGCATACATCTCCCACCTCGTGAAATCATTATTCACCACATGGATATACCCTCTCCTACACCTCGGCATCCTCTGTATAAGCTTATGACCGAAGATATTGAAAGCAATCGTCACTTGCATACCCGAATCGGGCAAGTAATCGTCACTGTGCCCCAACAACATGACCTCATTGTGATGCGAGAAATGGTTATTGGAAACCGTGATAGCCGTGGACCCCATCACAGCATCTATCAATCCATCCTTGCAGTGCGACAGCGCGCAGTGGTCGATCCAAATATCGCGCGCGCCGAAGATCGAGATTCCGTCACCGTCGGATTTGGTCCTCCACCCGTAGTGTGTGGGGCTCGACCGCACGTTAGTCTCCCCCGACTGGTAGCAATGGTGGATGTGGATATTGTGGATTATAATATTGGAGACGTATTGTAGGGTTAGGCAACCTCCCCCCGTGATGTGGACGTTGGCCCCACGGCCGTCTAGGGTTTTGTAGGAGTTGAAGATGAGCTCTTGGGAGAGGTGGATTAGCATGTTGGTGGGGAAGACTATCCATAGGGGCTCGGTTTGGATGACCGCGTAGCGGAGGGTGCCGGGGGTTGGGTTGACCGCGTCCCGGTCGGACGAGTCGGTCACTACGTAGTAACGGCCGTTTTTGCCGCCGAGTGCGTTGCGGCCGAAGCCGATGGCGCAGTCGGCTAGGCGCTGGCGGTTGAGACGCCAGTTGGGGTCGCACCGCCAGCAGTCGTCTATCGGGTTGCCGGTGACGCAGTTTGAGGAGTCCTCGTGTGTGGTGTAGGATAGCATTTCTCTTCTTGAGAGTGATGTGTTCACTATTCTGCAAGAATGAGAAAACATGAGAATGCATGTACAATTACAATAAATCCTATATACTTCAGACTTCAGAGTAGCTTTTGTGTGAAAAGAGACATAGGATTCCATGGCAGACAACAGAAAAAACTGGATAAAGAATGTTAAGAGGGCCACAATGGCAAAAGTGTAAAAAGTGAACTGGAAATGATGACAAATCTTTCAACTGTTGTGCAGATCTAGAAAACAAGATGAACACTAAAACGAAACAGGGGAATGAAAAACCCCATAAACAAGAACTTGTTGTTATGCATAGATTATTTTGTTTTATTTTTTGTAATTAATCTTGTTTATAAGATTAAAACCGCATGCAGAAGTATTTGCTTTTAAGATTTAAAAAGACAAATGCTTGCCTGTGAACATGTTGAGCAACAGCTTCAGGGTTTGGGTGCTGACCGGGCAGAACGGTCAGGTTATTCATGGACGAAACCAGCTGAAGAGATAATAAAAACACAGTAATGCAGCTGCCCAGAATCTCCATTCTACACTACTGTGTGTGTGTGTGTGTGTGTGTGTGTGTGTGTGTGTGTGTGAATAATTCTCTCAGAATGGTTATATATTTTAGCAGATATTTCGAGGTTTGAACATTTTGATGGGCTCTATGTTCAGTGGAGAGAGAGTGATTTGGTCCGTGGGGCTCTTCCTCGCGTCCTCTAAGCTCTCTGTCGGATTCCGGTAGAAAAAAGACCTGCAACGCCGGGAGGTGTTCCCGGCGGGAAAGCTCCGACGATCAAGTCAGTATGATTTCAAAGCGAGTTTTTAGAAAGTACGTAAAAGTATGTGAAAAAAAATGTATATTATCTGTCTGGAAAAACGCAATATCATTCCCTATTTATAAATGAGGAAACCTTGGCCTCCAAGGTTTCCTTTTTAGGGTTTTTCCCCCCTCAAGCCATTGTGTGTATTGGGCCTTTTACAACCCTGGGCTCGATTTACCACGAGCCGATACTGGGCCTGCGAGCCGAAGTTCCGCAGTTCGTCGTTGAGGTCGTACGACCTAATGGTCTTTTTATATCATTGGGCTGAATTGCCATGGGCCTTTTGTCGTGGGCCTAATTCGTATTGGATCTTTCCAGAATGGCCCGTATCAACTACTCCCCCCTACTCCTTAATTATCGGGCGAGATAAAACTTCTGTTTTGTCCCGTTCGATGAATATGGAGTATGGAGTGCGAGGTAACAGTTCGTTTTTAGCGTTTAATCTTTGATGGGGAAGCGTGCTCTACCGCCTTCTGCTGTCCTATCAATCAATGCAGTCGATTCGAGTTCCCTAGGTCATAATGAGGGAATTTCAATCGGTGCTTTCCGCGCCGAATTCGAGGCGGCCTGCTTTTGATCTCGTTCGTCCGAATGAGTGGTTGAGATCTAATTTCCTCTTATCTCTTTCCCTATAAATACCTCATTAACCCAACTTGTAAAAGTTTTTTCTTTTTGCCTACACGTCTCTCCTCCTGCTTGATTTCTGGTGATTCCATTTTCTGAGACAGAGCTTTCCTCCCTCAAGTCCACTCTTTCTCTCTAGCCAAGGTATTACTTCTCTTCCCCATCTTTTATTACCTCCATCTTATTCTTCAATTCGATAATGTCAGCCCATTCCCCTGACCCTTTTGGCCAAAAAGCGCCTTCCGGGGAGGGGGGTGAAAACCCTGCTTTTTCTATCTCTTCTTCGTCGGAGGAGGGGCCTTACTTCTCCCCTTCGGGTAAACTCTTGGAACGACCCAAGAAGAAGGGCAAGAAAGAGGTTTCTTCTTCTGCGAGGAGTGGTTCGCCCTCCGTATCTGAGGGGAGGGATTTAGATGACCAATGGGGGCCCAGTACCTTGACCGACATAGATCTGGCTAACTTAGTCCGCGACATAGGCCTCTCCACCGATGTCGAGTTGATTCTTCCTTCGCGAGATGACCGTCCTTTAACTCCCCCCTTAGGTTTCAGTACTTGGTTTTCAGAGCAGTTTTATTTCGGTCTATCCTTCCCTATCTCGCCTTGGTTTTCTGAAATTGCCCAGCTATGTAATGTGTCCCTTAATCAATTCCACCCTCACGCTATAATAATTATGACGGGATTCCGCATGCTGTGCGCCTGGTCGGGGGTGATTCCTACACCAGCTCGCTTCCGGAGTGTGATGGTATTAAAGAATTCGAGTCCTTTCCATGTCTCTATCTCGGCTCGACCGGGTTTTAAGATTCTGATGCCGCCTAATAAAACCGATGGGTGGCAAGGTCATTATTTCTTTGCCAGAAATCCTGTCGACACGCCCTATTTGTGTCCTTGGCTCGCCACCCTGCCTGAAAAGAAAAGGGGGAAACCTTTGGCGGTTGACGATTGTTTGTTAAAAATGATATCCCACTTTCAACCGAGCCACGGCGTCCCGGATAGCCTCACCAGCTTTCCGCCAATGCTTCGCCACTTTCGTTTTCACGACAACGGCACGTATTCTCTAACTCGGGAAGATTTAGGTGGGTTTGGTTATAACACTGATTTTTACCTCGACTCGTTATCTTACTTCGGTCGGTTTGTTTTTTGTTGCTTCGCTAGTTATGTACCTGTATGTCTTGTATCTCACCCACGTATCTCCCTTGCCCGTTTGTTTTGGTGCGTAGATCTAAGAATGAAGAGGATGTTCCGAGGTGACAAGCCGGCTACCCGTCCCTCCGATCCGGAGCCTGGGTTCGAGGCGTCTGAATTTCAGCGCCCTCTAATCGCTGAATCCGAGAAAAGACCCTCGGAGGAAGGGGCTCTAAGGCCCAGGCCATCGAAGAAAAACACCGCTCCTCCTCGCGCCCGTGGTGGACCTGCTTCGCGAACTGAGGACTCTGAACCTCCTAAACAATCCTCCGCGATAGTTCTCGCCCCGTCACCGCCTCCTTCTTCGACCGAAGAGGTGGTAGAGAAAGAACCTGCTCCGAAGAAACGGAGGTCTGAACTGGCCCTTGGGGCGGCTGGGTCATCTTTACCGGCCGACTTTGGACTGTACCTCTGCCGGAATGCTGAAAACGCTATTGCTGCGTGCCGGTCCTTGGCATTCCCCACCGATGTCGCCCACTTCGGGCAAATGAGTAAGGGCGACCGACTTGAGTTGCTTCTTCATAACATTACACAGGTTTGTTTCACGCTGTTCTTGTGAATTGGTTTTTGCCATAGCATCTTGTATTTAAGATTAACTCCATTTAACCTCTTTGTGAGTGCAGCAATTCGCCATCGCCTTCTCGGGTCCCCTGGGGTGGGATGATGTTTCACGCGAGGCGTATGATAATCAGAGGAAAGAGGTGATGCAGCTCCGGAAGGAAGTCCGGGGCTTGAAGGAGAGTTTGGGAGTGTCGGAGTCCTCGAAGGAGGGGCTATTTGCCGAAGTGAAGAGGCTGAAAGAGAGAGAGAAAATCCTCGAGGCTGAAAAAGACTCCCTTGTATCCCATAATGCCAGTTTGGAGGAGAAAGCTAAGGGGCTTTCCAACGAGCTGTTCGCGGCTGGAGTACAGGCCTCCACCAATTTCACCGAAGGGGTGAAAGAGGGGCAAAGGTTGTTCCCGGGGTCGCCTGAGGGCCTTCGCTTCATCGAGGAGTTTGTTCGCCGCTTCTTTCACCGATTGTGGCGTTCCACCACGTTTACTCGAGAAGCTTCAGGCTTAGCTCGTTTCTTCTTTTCGTCGGCGGTTGCGGCTGTTCGGAAGAGATTAGGCGGTGCCGGCATCGAGTTCCCGTTGGTGGAAAATGAACTGGCAGAGGACCTCCCCGACGACGTGATCCCGGGTTTTGAGGGGGATGTAAACGAGGATCCCAACTTAGAGTGGTGGAGGCCGGTTTATCAAGGCCTCGTTGAAGAATTCTCCCGGCAAGGGGCTATCACTGACTTCGCCGGAGACATCGGAGCCCTTGGGACGGTGGTTAGTTCCGAAGAGGCACAACCAAGCCTCGTTTCGCCGCCCCCTCCGGATGCTGAGAATCGGAGTGAAGCAGTTCCGAAATGAAGACCAAAAAGACTTAACCATTTATTATGTTTTGTACTTGGAATATGTATTTCTTGAATATTATTCCCTTTATTTCCTTTTGTCATGTACCCTTAACAATTTCTCCGTTTTTCCATATGTTCAGAAGCGTCTTTATTCGTTTTTCAAATTTGTGCTTCGAGCTTTGATATTCGTCTTGTCTTGACTTCAAGTTCAATTCATGTTTCCATATCTCAGATCATTCTCATTTGTGCTTATCCTCTAGGCTTATCAGTTAACTTGATCTCAGAAAACTGTTTTTATATTTCAACTTGATGCTTGACCTCATCATCTCGCGACTTAGCGCTGCAACAGAAAGCACAAACCATTGTCACACTAAAACATGCTTTTTACTTACTTTAGTAAAACACGCGATTTAACGTCATAGTGAAACACGCGATTTAACGCCACAGTGAAACACGCGAGTTAACGCCACAATGAAACACGCGAGTTAACGCCACAATAAAACACGCGAGTTAACGCCACAATAAAACACGCGAGTTAACGCCACAATAAAACACGCGAGTTAACGCCACAATGAAACACGCGAGTTAACGCCACAATGAAACACGCGATTTAACGCCACAGTGAAACACGCGAGTTAACGCCACAATAAAACACGCGAGTTAACGCCACAATGAAACACGCGATTTAACGCCACAGTGAAACACGCGATTTAACGCCACAATGAAACACGCGATTTAACGCCACAATAAAACACGCGAGTTAACGCCACAATGAAACACGCGAGTTAACGCCACAATGAAACACGCGAGTTAACGCCACAATGAAACACGCGATTTAACGCCACAGTGAAACACGCGATTTAACGCCACAATGAAACACGCGATTTAACGCCACAGTGAAACACGCGATTTAACGCCACAGTGAAACACGCGATTTAACGCCACAGTGAAGCACGCGAGTTAACGCCACAATGAAACACGCGATTTAACGCCACAGTGAAACACGCGATTTAACGCCACAATGAAACACGCGAGTTAACGCCACAGTTATAACTTAAGCAAATAACACAAGTATTTTTTTAACGTGGAAACCCTCCAAATAAGGAGAGAAAAAACCACGGGGCCTAGCCCAGGTCGGAAAATGGATGTTTATTAATGGTTTTTTGTGCGTACAAGGTGTGTCTCGATTTCACTGACTATCTGTCCTCCTTCTCTCTCCCCCCTTTTTTTTTTTTTTTTTTTTTTTTTTTTTTTTTTTTTTTTTTTTTTTTTTTTTACGCGAAGAAGCGTTTTAAATGGATGACATTCCATGCCCGTGGCAGTGGTTTCCCTTCTACGTCTGCTAGCTCATACCCTCCACCAGCCAAACATTTTGTGACCATGTATGGTCCTTCCCAATTAGCCTCTAACTTTCCTGTATGTTTTAGTGCGTCAGCTCGGCGCAAGACCAGGTCGCCGATTTGGAATGAACGAGGCCATACCCCTTGATCGTATCGTGCTTTAATCAGGTTCTTACTTCGCTCCATGTGTAGATACGCCGCCTCTCGCAGGTCAAAGACCTCGTCCAGCTGTGTTCTCAAGGCGTCATCGTTTGTTTTTTCATCAAATGTGGCGATGCGAAGTGTGTCCATTGCCACCTCAACCGGAATAACAGCGTCGGTTCCAT